TTAACCCTTTGGCACACATTCACGGCGAGGGGAACAGTACAGTAAGTGTCTCCGTCTGTCATTCTCTGTCTGCTACAAGTTTTCTGCCACAACACACGAAGAGTGGTTTCAATAGTGGTATATACCAATGGGTCCAGCTCTACCAGCGGGTCCAGCTCTACACTGGCCTGATATTACTGCACTGGGGTGAAAACCAAGTCAACTAGCCAATATGACAGGCCTGTGCATGCACGTTGGAGTTCCGCGTGCGAGTGCGGCGAGGGTTCCATTAGGGTCTTTCGTTTTTCAACCACTTTGTACATTGGTTGTTTCATTTCCAGCTAATATACACAGTAGCAGAGACCCACCCTGAAGTCTCCCGTGGGCTGGAACGACCAGTTCTTCTCACGGGGCAAACTGGTGACGTTGATACCTCTCGGGATGTAGATACTCTCAGTCAGATCACAGATGTCCTGTGTGGAAACAAAAACGTATACTCACAATGAAGGAGAGAAATGGTGCCTTCTTGTAACACAACCAGATATTGCATGTACGGTAATTATGGTGACTAATCACACAGTGATTGGGGAGGGGGTTCCCCTTAAGATGTGGTCCTACCTGCACGTCAGTATAATAATGGTAGGAGTGTGCTCTTGCTAAAGAGAATGCTCAAAGTTCTAAATACCCAACACAGATACAGTTACTTTGTCGTGCCTCGAACATTATGTGTTGCCCTGTATACAACATACCTTGAGTGGTCTCTGGATCCCGTCAAAGATGTTGTCCATGATGCCAGGTCCCAGTTCCACCGACAGAGGTTTCCCGGTCCTCAGTACTGGGTCTCCTACTGTCACTCCAGCTGGGAGTCGCAACACACCCGAGTCAAGGGGAAACTGGGTCCAAAATATATACACCTCGGGAATTCCGCCACACTCTCGCAACTAGTACATATTCACACTAGCTTCGTATCAGATAAAAATTGCTTTATGAGCTGCTTTGAAAAAGGGGCCACTGAAGAACTGTCTAGAGAACTAAAGCAGAAGAGAGAGGTAAATTATTTGATTATCCCGTGTTCAGTGGTTTATTGTGCAATTGGCATGTTTGTGTGCCAGTCAGCCATTCAGTTGCCTCCTGGCTAAATCCAGAGTAGGTATAGAGGGGCAGTAGTAGTGGGTAGTGGATACAAGTCTCTTCGTATACTTGAATGGTTGCCATGTCTTCTTCGAGTCGAATGATCTCTCCCACCAGCTCCCCGTGACCCACACGGACCTGGTGGATAGACCGAGAGTTCACAGAGTATCAGAGGATAGAGAGAGTGTGTGTGTGTGCGACTGCTCTTGAAATGTAGTGTTAGAGATATGGTGTATATATGTACTTACCAGTTCGTACATAGCAGCTCCACTCATCTGCTGAGCAATGACCACTAGACACAATCAAAGCAAAATAATCATTAAAACAACAAACCACACCCTTTCGGAGGATACATAGATCAGAATAAATGTCTGCACAAGTAACTGACAAGTAGAGCCAGATGATGTAACACACAAACACTTTAAAATGAAACTGTTCCTGGATAATCGCTCACATACACAGAAACATTCTCCAAAAGCTCGGAACATTGTGGCTACAACCAGACACACTATTCATACAATAGCCAGAGCTATACACAGGTCTTGTAGCCGGACAGGAGGACCTTTGGTGACAGCCCCACTTTCAAGTGAAAGAGGCACTATTCCTCTGAATGAGTGGACACAATGAGGACCACACGTCTACAGGACCACATCTCTGTTCGCACACCCTGCTCGTTTATTCGTCTCCTTTCCTCACCCCAATATCAACCCATGCCAACATAGTCCAGGTATACTTACATGGCTAGCCATAGAATTTCAAGTAAAAAAGCTGACAATCCTGGGTACAGGAATGGGAATGCTTGTTTCATGGCTATGAACAGCGTAATCCACATAGAAACTTTGCAGAGTTACACAATACCTCCATTCTTATTCCACAGACTGTGCAAACGTTAGAATTTACCATGACATGGTACGTAGCTCCGATTCAGATGGAAAACCGTGACATACATTACGGATTCTTGTACGAGTAAAATATTACCGATGTTGAAAATATTATAGCAATATCTGTGACAAATTACAATCAACCAGCATCGCCAATAGCATACGTTAGCTCGTATCTACAACTTGGGACCCCAGTAGGTGTACAGTTACATGCAGCAGGGAAGCAACATAACCTAAAGGCTGCCAGGAAACCAATGACTGCAATGAACACGGTGCCAGTACCAACAGTGGTCCAGACGGTGCCTTACCAGGTCCTGAGACACCGAAGACGTAGCCATATAAGCTCTCCTTTTCCGCGTCCGCGACCTTCGGGAGAGTAGACATGGTGGCCGGGCGGGGGACGAGGGCTCCGCCGAGATCAGGATGTCGAGCTGGCTGGCTGAGGGGAGCCTACTGTTATAGGCAACGGAGGCGGTTGAATTTGCAGCTCTACACACACGCATGAACAGGACAGATTTTGTGTGCAAAGGTCGAGCGATCATATGACAAGTATGACGTCAGCTAAAAGCACGTGTGTGCGCATGCGCCTTACTACATGACATGCGCATGCTTGTCCGCGGGGGGTATACGTACGTCGTCGCACCGTAGAAGGGCTACTTGCTTGCGGATTTGCAGCAGCAGCAGAACACCTAGGCAGTAACTTAGTTACCACAGCCGAAGCTAGAGGAAATGTCGAAGCTGATCACAGTTTTTGGAGCCACCGGCGGACAGGGCGGACCCGTGGCGCAGGCTCTGCTACGTAGTGGATTTAGAGTGCGAGCAGTAACCAGGAGCACGGAGAGCGACAAGGCCAAGGCGTTGAAGGATGCGGGGGCGGATGTCGTAGCTGGCAGCGTCACTAACGCAGAATCCGTTCGCGCGGCCGTGACGGGAGTCCACGGCGTGTACCTGGTGACTCTGGTGTCGCCGGACGAGGAACAGGTGGGGAAGGCTGCATCGGACGAATGCAAGAAGGCTGGAGTCCAACACGTAGTGTTCAGCGGTCTGGACTCGGCCAAGGACAAGATAGGGAAGGCTGTCCACCACTTTGACTCCAAGTCAGCAGTGGAAAAATACCTGGACGAGATCGGGGTTCCCAACACGTCCGTCCGTTTCCCGTTCTACTTTGAAAACTTTATCGATTTCGTCCAGTACTCCAAGCAGAGCGACGGGAGTTATTCCCACACACTGCCCATGAACGGACCCATGGATGCAATGTCAGTTGCCGATGGAGCACCGATAGTAGTGGAGGTACTCAAAAACCCAGACAGGTACATTGGGAAGAAAGTTGGGTTGAGTGCTGGGAGGCTCACAATTGGAGAATACACTGAAGTAATATCCAAGGTCACGGGGAAGACTGTGAAGTACAACCAGGTGTCGTTTGAGCAGTACGCCAACCAGCCCAACAACCCTTTTGCTGCCGAGATGTCGGCCATGTATGAATACTACAGCAAGGCGGACACTCCGTACGATGAGAAGTTCACACGGAGCATTAACCCTGACACCCTCACCTTCCAACAGTGGGCCAAACAGAACAAAGAGAAACTTCTGAAAAAGTTTGCTGCCTGAAACATTCAACAATCATGAGTCCAGCATTCTATTGACAATAATTGGATATGATAATATTACACTGTATGATAATAAAAGTTTTAATTCTATAGAGACTCATTGCTACGATACTAATAACTTAATGAGCTTGCGTAGCATTAACTTCAAAAAAGATGTTGTTTCATGCGTTTCGGTCCGTAGACCTTCTTCATGTTATTGATTGGGAGTCAGCGAGTGAAAAAATGCTTTCGTCCAGAGACTGACTATGAACCTGGACTGTAGTCTCAACCTGAGCGACATCTGGGAGCCAGCACCTCAGAAACATCAACTCAGGCTGTCAGCACGTAAACTGTTGTTCATTTCAGAAACATCAACTCAGGCTGCCAACACGTAAACTGTTGCTCCTTTCTGGCCACAGCCCTTAGCCAATTTTTCCTTTTTTTCTTCTTTTTTTTCCATTTAAATTCTGTAACCATCTTAGTTGTGCAGTTCACTGAAGAAGGTCTACAGACCGAAACGTATGAAGCAACATCTTTTTTGCTACGCAAGCTCATTAAAATAATAATAGTTTTGTTGGTAGCATTTTTCATGCTTGGTGTGGGAATTTACACAAGTCATACAGGTTTGGGTTTTGCCATACATAATAGACAAGAGTGTCAAGTTACACTATAGGAGTATCATGTTTCAATAAGGGCTAATCACAAAGAGCATGGCACTGCTAACAACTCAGCTGGCACTATTCCAGGCAGGAAACCACAGCTAATGCCATGGAATCGGTTTTGATGAGGTCAAAGTACATTAGTTAGTCTGAGAGCAATAGGCTTTGTTGGGACTGTCGAATGCCCACAGGCAGATCCGGTCGAGGTAAGCTAGCACGCCATGACTTTCAGGGAAGTCGGAACCCAGCATTGTCATCTTGTGCAATATACTCCTGTATGTAGCTAGTGGGAAAATGGGTTTTGTCTCTTGAATTGGTTATGAAAGTTGGAATGCTTCCAAGGGGAGGTAGCATTGCTTAAACAAAGCAGCCTGCATAAGAATTTCACTCAATCTGCACCATTATAGATCCTGAAAAAATTTTTATGCTCACGGCTATGGAGTATTTGCTATTGGGCGTAATCAATGATCGTCAATGATGTTGAGGAACTAAGTCTTTTGCTCGAGTGCATGCAGAGAGCTGGAAGAGAGGTACAGGTCTGACTTAACAACAGACTCTTTTAGCTTAGGTTGGAGGGGACTGTGTCCTCATGAAAGACCACGTGCCATTGAGCAATTTTGCTAATAGCTAAAGTGTTGCAATAATGGTTCCTTACAACAGCTAGATGGAGTAAGCTCTGGGAAGGCCAGACTGAGATACATACCTCCTGTTGACAAGTAAATTAAAAAAGAGGCGTATAGGGATGGTATAGTAAGAAATGGAGACAAGATAGGGATGGGATACATGAAGCATAGTTAATGAACAAATTTGAGTACGCTGACACCCCCAACCCCATCACACAATCCCTATATTGTTGCCTGGTGTGCTACTCTTATAGGGAATGTGGCGTTATATATAAGGTTACTATATAAAAGCAAGCATGCTTTCACCGTCAGACTCTAAGCGAGCTATAGTGGGAGACCATGAGTAAATGCATACTAAAAGCCCAGCCCATCAATTAGTCCTACCACGCATTCGCAGTTCGCCGAGTGTTTGCACTTTAGTGCGTTTCATTTTCTTCAGTTTTACTGCATTAAGAAGCTACTGCATACTTTTCTATCACATTCAGAAAACATTCACCGTTTCTTTCTTGCATGTGTGTGTGTCAGGCAGTGGAGAGGCCGAGTGAAGCTGTCAGTCTAAGTCCCCACGTACCTCGCTCCCTTCGAGTGGAAGATCCTCTATAACCTCGGTCTAGTTCACCTCTCTCTCCACCACTTTGCCTCTGCCTACCACTTCCCGAGAGCTGCCGTGGGACTCAACCCACAATCTGGACAACTCTTCGTGCTCCTAGCAGGTCTCTCTCTATTGTAAAATATCTACTGAGGGAAACTTTTAAAGGAAGAAATCTCGCAAATTTCTTTATAAGCTGCCTGCAAAAGTTGTCTCTGTGAAATTTTGTGAACGAGAGAGTTTGATTCAAGGGCCAGCAATATTAGATTGTGTGAAGTTTGACATTTGCTTCCACTGAAAGACTAAAGTGTTTTCATATGGTTACTGCTAAACAGACTGAGACGTACTAGGGCTAATGAAATTGAGTGTCCTTCATTCACATCAGTATTTCCATCGGATAATGAAGTCTCCCATATAGCTAGGGAGGTGTTTTTCTCCGGGTAATGTCCAAAAGGCTTTTCTGTGGTTTGTTTTCATGGAAACCACGACAAATGATGTACATTCTAATATTTTACTGAGAGTGCGCAGGTGCATATTAGTGCCCAGCAATGTCATGAATATTTGAGGAAAACCACAAGTGTTTGTGCCGGTCTCCAGTATAAAAGAGGTGCTGGAAAACATCTCAGCATCGCTTCTCGGCCCTCTCGTGGCTAAGATCAAGTAGAAATAACTGTTCTTACCAGTGTAATATCTGGTACGCAGGCAATGCCTGCTCGATATTACATCAATTTTTGAGTCCGGAGGGATGGCCTGGGGCTTGCTCCACCTCCCTCAGGGGTTGCCCTAGTCTTGCACTGTTGCTAGTGGCAGCCCATCCCCTACTGGGGGATATTTCTGAATCTAAAATCAATGTTATGGGAGTCGTCTGGGTCCCAGTAATGTGACTACAGACCGTTGCCTTGGGCTGTGAAGTCCTAGCACCTTTTCTATAGCTTCTGAACAGTGAATTATGGCCTGGCACCTTTTCCATAAAATGAATGCAGTGAGTTGTGGTTCTTGTGCATGCTTGTTCTCATTGGGGATCATTTTGCACTTGCATGCTATCTACTATATACTGTAGCTAGCCCATGTCAGACTCTCCGCTAGCTATATATTCTAGTGGGAGACCATGAGTAACAGCATATATACTAATAGCCCAGCCAAAAAAGTCATAATAATTTATTTATACCCCATACAGGGAAGAGTGAGATACTCAAGAAAAAATAAAACACTGGTTAAAATTGTAAAACCTTTACAAGTGACAGACCTAATGTGATATGGCTCATGATGTACATGAATGAAAGAATGCAGTCGGTGATGTAGTCTGGGGTAATACTTGAGTCAAAATCTGTGTGGCATTCCAACAGGTATTTGTACAGCAGAGTATCTCATGGAACAGAGTATGTATGCACAGTCATCCATAGGGCAGTGTAGATCACTGAAGACTGAGACAGAGTGATTTCAGAATAGCCATGGATGTTTTGGATCCATCGTACCAATATTGAATAGCCACATCCCAGAATTTTATCCATTCTTTGACAACACGGAGGATGTGGAAGAGATATGGATGATCAATTAGCGGTATCACGCATGCGCAGTTCGCCGAGGGTTTGCACTTCAGTGCCTTTCATCTCTTTCGGTTTTTTAGCTATGCTGGTTGAAGGAGAAGAAGACGATGAACAAAACTCCCTATCATAGCCCCATACATCTATGATGCTAGGTACCATGACCATCCCTATATACTAACATCATTTGGAGAAGACACCTAATGGAGTCTATACAGTCTCTCATAACACTATGTCCTCATCCATTTTACACAGTCTTTTTTGAGTTTACTATATTATGACATTCCAGTCTTTTTCCAACAACAACATGTCCAACTCTCATTAGGGCATGCATACTAAACGCACATTCTCTAGAGTTCAAGAGGTCAGTAGCAAGCGCTGACTGCACATATCCATAGCCTGATTGATTCATAATGTGGCTGGACAGAAATCATTACACCACTTCACTATTCTTCAACTGCCTAATACTGCTGTGCCTATGGTGAGCTGCAAGTATAGCTAACAAATCGGCACAGTGTGTATGTTCACTATGTTGACTCTTTATCTACCTTTCAAGTTCCAGTATCCAAGGTTTCTCCCTGTCTTCCTCTCCATCATCTGAGGATGGTATCATATCAGTCTGTCCTGCCACCACTGTCACCCTCACCTGTACTGCCACTGGAGTTGGAAGTTTGATCTGGAGAGACCAGAATGGGCAGATTGATTTATTTGTAGCCAGTGATCCAGAGTCCATGGTGATAGAAGAAGGTCCTTACACTCTGACTCTAGTCTCAGTAGACAATGATGATGGCGATTCTTTTGCTGACTTCACCTCTACACTGGAGGTAGCGGTGGATGACGTTGCCAATCGAACTAACATCTCCTGTATTGTATTCAGGAATCAGACACACCTGGTCATCTATAAAATAAGTGAACAAACAAAAAAGCATCTTTTTCGTTTGTGTGACTCTTTGATTGATTTTCTGTAGGAGCACCATATCCTCCACCTAATGTGATGGTGAAGACGGAGAATTTCCAACCTGACAACTTCTTCATCATCATCTCCTGGGAGTCAGGAGAAGATGAAGTGGTTGATGAGTACAGAACACTGACCAACACCACTACACAGTCCATCACCACTACCAATACAACTGTAGTTCTAGAGGGAGTGTACAACATTCCTCTAGAAATCAGAGTCACAGCCATCAACTGTGCAGGCACTAGCGCAGAGGTCACCGAGGAAGTCTTTGTTGGCAAGTTGTCTCACTTAGTGAAGATATAAACTGTTCCATTGGCTCTCTCCCTCAGCTGGCTGTGGTCCTCCCAGTCAACCAGTGAATGGTAGTGTTGGTGAGTTGACCAGTTCCAGAGTAGGAGCGCAGGTCACCTACTCCTGTGACACCCACCTGGTTCTGGTGGGAGAGACTGTGGCCACATGCTCTCTCCCTTCTCTAACATGGCTGCCTAGTAGTGATGATGTCATCTGTGCACAACCACCAGGTATTTTAGTACTAGTCATCAACTTAATTTTTTACCAACAATATTTAGTTGTATCAAACAGCTCAAGTATAGTGACCAACAAAACACCAGTGGTAACAGTTACACCGACCAAGCAACCAATGAGTAAGGCTGATACCCTGAGTGTTACAGTCTTACAGCCTATATCTCCGCAGATGGTGATAAAAGAGGGAGTTCTCTAACTACAGCAGAAGCAGTGGTCACAACAGGAGTAGTGTGTGTAGTGTGTAGCTTCACTGCTGGACTGCTACTTGGTGTTCTACTGACTCAATGTCGTGGTCACTGTCATAGGAAGGGGAGGAGAGGCCGGACTGAGATGCCTCCTGTTTATGAGGACATTCCCTTGGAGAAGACACCTCCCATTGAACTCAACACCAATGAAGCTTATGGACATATTTCACACTAAATGACCCTATAACTATTCACCATCACTATTATTGTTTACAAAGAGCAATTGGTTTAGAGTTTTTGCCAGAAAGCATACCAATCTTTTCCTAAGTAAACACCCATCTACACCATGTTGTGTAGAGTTCAAGAGGTCAGGCAAATGCTGACTCTGCATTTAGTGCTTCTGTTAGACTGTGTTACAAGTGCAGGAACTGAGGCCTTTTTGTCAGTTGTTAATTTTAATAATTAACAAACTGGAATGCTTGTCTTAAAACTGTAGTGTTTCTAGGTGTGTGTGACATAAAATTTCAGGAAGGTCTTAGTTTGTTCTCCTTGTATAGCTACTTAACTCTGTCTGACAGCAGAGTATAATACTCCTCTACAAGTCTCAGTGGTGGCTGTGAACTGTGCAGGGGAAAGTGAGCCAATGACTACCGACATCACCATACGTATGGAAATGACTTAATCTTGCTAGCATTTAGATAGTATCCTCTCCCTCAGCTGGCTGTGGTCCTCCCAGTCCACCAGTGAATGGGAGTGTTGGTGAGTGGACCAGTTCCAGAGTAGGAGCACAGGTCACCTACTCCTGTGACACCCACCTGGTTCTGGTGGGAGAGACTGTGGCCACATGCTCTCTCCCTTCTCTAACATGGCTGCCTAGTAGTGATGATGTCATGTGTTTACTGCCATCAAGTAAGCAATTTAAGTCATATATCTGAATATAATTATTACACTTAACCTGCACAGCTCCCTCAGTATCAGTGACACTACCAAGTAAGACCAATGCATAAAGCGTATGCATGCATCCTCATGATACTCTGTGACACAGCTATGAATGAAGATGGCAAAAAGAGTTCTAGTGCAGATCTGAGTACAGCAGAAGCAGTGGCCACAACAGGAGTAGTGTGTGTAGTGTGTAGCTTCACTGCTGGACTGCTACTTGGTGTTCTACTGACTCAATGTCATGGTCACTGTCATAGGAAGGGGAAGAGAGGCCAGACTGAGATACCTCCTGTTTATGAGGACATTCCCTTGGAGAAGACACCTCCCATTGAACTCAACACCAATGAAGCTTATGGACATATTTCACATTAAATGAACCTTGAACTATTCATCAGCACTATTATCGTTTACAAAGAACAGAATTGGTTTTGAGTTATTGGGAAAGCATACCAATCTTTTCCTAAGTAAACACCCATCTACACCATGTTGTGTAGAGTTCAGAGGTCAGGCAAATGCTGACTCTGCTTTTGGCGCTTCTGTTAGACTGTATTACAAGTACAGGAACTGAGGCCTTTTTGTCAGTTGTTGATAAGATTAATACTGTAGTGTTTCTAGGTGTGTATGTGTGACAAAAATTGCAGGAAGGTCTTAGTTTGTTCTCCTTTCAAACTTCAGTCTATAAAAAGATGGTAAGGTCAGATTAAGTTTGAATCATATAAAATCAAAGTTTATCTGCTTCTCTTACCTTCAGCTTCAGATCAAACTTTTCTTTACTGCTCTTCTTTGTCAAAGTAAGATGTGGTTTCAGCTACATTATTTCACTATAGCTCTAACACTCTCAGTAATTTTATCACCAACTACCAATGGGATAATACTGTCCTCATCAGTGGAGTCTGAGAATGGGCATGTAACAGTGTGTCCTGATACCACCATCACATTCACCTGCTCAGACACTCTAGTCTTTGGTATGAGATGGTATGCTCTTCCTCTTCTCGATGAAGACAACTCTCCTGGTCTGGGATCAAGCTTCCTGATATTGGAGATCCTATAGTAGTGGAGGATGTGTTCACTATCACTCTAGTGGCCAGGGAACTGATGATGGGTGACTTTCGTGGCAACTATACCTCCACTCTGGATGTGGTGGTGAATGATAGAATACAGAATGGAACCAATGTCACCTGCTTCACACCTAATGTGGCCTCTCTTCTCATTTTCAAACAAGGTTGCATTGCCAAATTAATGTTATATGTGTTTATTAGACTAACTTACTCACTTGTATGTATCTGTATGCAGGTCTCCCATTTCTCCTCACGATGGACAATTCAACATAAATGAGTGATTCTGTTGAGAACCTCTGTCTCACATGGCAGAGACAGAAGTATGATTTGTACTACCTGATCAACACTAGCTCTGGCATGGAATATAATGAAACATCCACTGAACTCTGTCTTGAAGTAGCGAATGAAACTGCTCTGCAAGTATCTGTTGTGGCTGTGAATTGTGCAGGAAGGAGTGAACCAGCTATTGCAAACATCAGTATGGGTATGTCAATGATCATACTTAGTGACACATCACATTGCATCATTCTCCCTCAGCTGGCTGTGGTCCTCCCAGTCCACCAGTGAATGGCAGTGTTGGTGAGTGGACCAGTTCCAGAGTAGGAGCACAGGTCACCTACTCCTGTGACACCCACCTGGTTCTGGTGGGAGAGACTGTGGCCACATGCTCTCTCCCTTCTCTAACATGGCTGCCTAGTGGTGATGATGTTTTGTGTTTACAGCCATCAGGTAAGGGATTTCAAGGAATTTTCCAAAATTTCCACCTAACCTTAGGCTCAGCTCCCACAACATCAGTGCCACTACCATGTAAGACCAACACACAAAGTTGCTCTACGCATGATCAATACTCTACTTCTTGTAACACAGCTAATAATGAAGATGACAAAAAGACCTCCAGTGCAGCTCTGAGTACAGCAGAAGCAGTGGTCACAACAGGAGTAGTGTGTGTAGTGTGTAGCTTCACTGCTGGACTGCTACTTGGTGTTCTACTGACTCAATGTCATGGTCACTGTCATAGGAAGGGGAGGAGAGGCCAGACTGAGATACCTCCTGTTTATGAGGACATTCCCTTGGAGAAGACACCTCCCATTGAACTCAACACCAATGAGGCTTATGGACCCATTTTCCCAAACTAGTTTACGTTGCATGTTGCATTATAGCTGCACAAAGTAGCATTAACTGAACCTTAACATGTTTTTTTGCTGTTCTTTAGCAGTTAGCATTGTGACTTCATAATGTATAAAATATGAGTGACATACAGTGCGATACAAACGAGGTGGTGATATGGTTACGTCCGATGCAGTGTTTCGATGGTTGTTGCATATTTCTTGTGCACAACAAAACGCCGCACCTTCAGAGTTGGACCTGCACACGTAACCAGACCCCTTAGATAGATAACAAACATGGACATGCATGAAGGACATATACCAAGTTCTCCACCGGGTATTGAGAAATCTCTGTCCAGTAATGTCCATTTTTGAATCTAAGTCCGAGATAAGACAAGAGGGACATGACACAAATACACTGCATTAGAGTAGCAAGATGGACATCATATTCATAGTACACAAAAACATTATAGCAAGGGCTGTTAGGAGAGTAGGAGTGTGTTGTCCTAATCAAACATGAGTGTAGTTACTCGCATTTGCCTTGCAGCTCTGGTGGTGTTCTCTTGCAATTGTGAAGCAACCTGTACAAGTATAGCTACCTTATGATCATTGGTAGGTGCCAGAGTGTTGGCTCTGTGGAGGGAGTCAGTGATGGCGGTGAAGACAGTCTTGTCTCTGCCGGCTATGACTCCAGAGACTGTGGTGGAGTAGGAGCCCAGGGACTCCACCCATCTCCGGGCCAGTAGAGACAGCTGGTCTGTCGGCTCCCCCGTCACTCTGTCCATCACACTCTGCAGTAGAGGAGAGCCACACATATATACACCGTATGAGGGGAAATCTCTACTAATATCGGCACTTCATTTAAGACTAGGTTTTGAGTCATGAAATCTGCTTGTCATTGCTCAACAAAATATTTTGTGACTCAAAACTTCGTCTAAAATGAAGTAACAAGTAAGTAGGCATAGGCCACTCAGTCTCCTTGTGCACATAATTTTTAACAAAGGTGAAGCGAGGTATGCGCTGCATGCTACGCCAATTCGGGCACGTGGCATTGTTGCATGTAATAGATCAAAGGCTAGTTCGAGAACGCAAGGAGGACTTACTGAGACAGCTTGGCTCTCATGGCTCCATGTGCCACTGGCTCTTGTAAGGTAAGCGTATAAATGCAAGCACATGCGCAGTTCACCGAGTGTTTGAACACTTTTAGTGCGTTAAATTTTCTTCAGTTTTACTGCATTAAGAAGCTACTCACTGCATGCTTTTCTATCACATTCAGAAAACATCCACCGTTTCTTTCTTGCATGTGTGTGTGTCAGGCAGTGGAGAGGCCGAGTGAAGCTGTCAGTCTAAGTCCCCACGTACCTCGCTCCCTTCGAGTGGAAGATCCTCTATAACCTCAGTCTAGTTCACCTCTCTCTCCACCACTTTGCCTCTGCCTACCACTTCCTGAGAGCTGCCGTGGGACTCAACCCACAATCTGGACAACTCTTCATGCTACTAGCAGGTCTCTCTATTGAAATATCTACTGAGGGAAACTTTTAAAGGAAGAAATCTCGCAAATTTCTTTATAAGCTGCCTGCAAAAGTTGTCTCTGTGAAATTTTGTGAGCGAGAGAGTTTCATTCAAGGGCCAGCAATATTAGATTGTGTGAAGTTTGACATTTGCTTCCACTGAAACACTAAAGTTTTCATATGGTCATTCCTGAACAGACTGAGACATACTAGGGCTAATGAAATTGAGTGCCCTTCATTCACATCAGTATTTCCATCGGATAATGAAGTCTCCCATATAGAGCTAGGGAGGTGTTTTTTCTCCGGGTAATGTCCAAAAGGCTTTTCTGTGGTTTGTTTTCATGGAAACCACGACAAAGGATGTACATTCTATTTTACTGAGAGTGCACAGGTGCATATTAGTGCCCAGGAATGTCATGATATTTAGGAAAACCACAAGTGTTTGTGCCGGTCTCCAGTATAAAAGAGGTGCTGGAAAACATCTGTGTATCGCTTCTCGGCCCTCTTGTGGCTAAGATCAAGTAGAAATAACTGTTCTTACCAGTGTAATATCTGGTACGCAGGCAATGCCTGCTCGATATTACATCAATTTTTGAGTCCGGAGGGATGGCCTGGGGCTTGCTCCACCTCCCTCAGGGGTTGCCCTAGTCTTGCACTGTTGCTAGTGGCAGCCCATCCCCTACTGGGGAATATTTCTGAATCTAAAATCAATGTTATGGGAGTCGTCTGGGTCCCGGTAATGTGACTACAGACCTTTGCCTTGGGCTGTGAAGTCCTGGCACCTTTTCTTTATATAGCTTTTAAACACTGAGTGCAGTGAGTTGGCCTGGCACCTTTTAAAAACGAGTGCAGTGAGTTGTGGTTCTTGTGCATGCTGGTTCTCATTGGGAATCATTTTGCACTGGCTCCTACCTACCCCTTTGCTAATGTGTGGTGTGGAGTCCTTGATGTGTGTATTCTGTTTGTCTGCAGTTGCACTGGCTCTTCTGTGGGTCTGCTTGCTTTGTGTACCTTGGAGGCACAAGAAGTCACAACGAATGGCGTGTATCGATTCCCGCATGCTATCTACTACCGTAGCTAGCCCGTGTCAGACTCTCCACGAGCTACTCTAGCGGGAGACCACAACTAATAGCCCAGCCCAAAAAATCATGGGCTGGGCTATTAGTTGTGGTCTCCCGCTAGAGTAGCTCGCGGAGAGTCTGACATGGGCTAGCAGAGTGAGATACTCTAGAATAAAATAAAACACTGACGTGAATTTGTTAAAATGGTACAACCTTTACAAGTGACTGACCTAATGTGATAAGGCTCATGATGTACATGAAAGAATGCAGTCGGTGATGTAGTCTGGGGGTAATACTTGAGTCAAAATCTGTGCATGTGGCATTCCAACAGGTGTTTGCTTGTGGAACAGTCATGCATAGGGCAGTGTCCATCACTGAAGACTGTGAGACAGAGTGATTTCAGAATAGCCATGGATGTTTTGGATCCATCGTACCCATATTCAAGAGCCACATCCCAGATTTGTATCCATAGGTTTTCTTTGACAACACGGAGGATGTGGAAGAGAGATGGATGATCAATTAGCGGTATCACGCATGCGCAGTTCGCCGAGGGTTTGCATTTCAGTGCTTATCATCTCCTTCGGTTTTTGAGTTATGCTGGTTGAAGAAGAAGATGAACAAAACTCCCTATCATAGCCCCATACAGAGCTAGGTACCACGACAATCCCTATATACTAAGTACTACCAGTGATAAGTCCATTGGAGAAGACACCTAATGAAGTCTGCAGTCTCTCATAATGTCTTCATCCATTTTACAGTCCTTTTTGAGTTTACTATATTATGACATTCCAGTCTTTTTCCTACAGCAACTTGTCCAATTTTCTATTATCAACACTAGTGCATGCATGCTAAAGGCACATTCTCTAGAGTTCAAGAGGTCAGTAGTAAGTGCTGACTGCACATATCTTAGCCTGATTGATTCATAATGTGGCTGGACAGAAATCATTATACCACTTCACCATTCTTCAACTGCCTGATACTGCTGTGCCTATGGTGAGCTGCAAGTATAGCTAACAAATCGGCACAGTATGTATGTTCACTATGTTGATCTTTATCTACCTTTCAAGTTCCAGTATCCAAGGTTTCTCCCTGTCTTCCTCTCCATCATCTGAGGATGGTATCATATCAGTCTGTCCTGCCACCACTGTCACCCTCACATGTACTGCCAGTGAACAGACGTTTCTGACATGGAGACAAGTCACTCCAATCTACACATTCTTTGCCGATGATTATGAGACTGAGGAGACCAGAACAGTTCAGAGAAATCCGTACACTCTGACTCTAGTGTCGGTAGATAATGCCAATGGATCTGTTGTTGACTTCACCTCTACTCTGGAGGTGATGGAGGGTGATATAAGCAATGGAACCAGTATCACTTGTCAGGTTTTAGATGATGAAGACCACCTCACCATCATAAAAACAAGTAAGAAATAGGTTGAAATCCACAATAATTATCAATCCATCTTTGTATGTGCATGTGCAACTCTTCTAATACAGGTACACCATCTCCTCCATCTAATATGATAGCGAGGACAGAGAATTTTCCAACCTGACAACTTCTTCATCATCATCTCCTGGGAGTCAGGAGAAGATGAAGTGGTTGATGAGTACAGAACACTGACCAACACCACTACACAGTCCATCACCACTACCAATACAACTGTAGTTCTAGAGGGAGTGTACAACATTCCTCTAGAAACCAGAGTCACAGCCATCAACTGTGCAGGCACTAGCGCAGAGGTCACCGAGGAAGTCTTTGTTGGCAAGTTGTCTCACTTAGTGAAGATATAAACTGTTCCATTGGCTCTCTCCCTCAGCTGGCTGTGGTCCTCCCAGTCCACCAGTGAATGGTAGTGTTGGTGAGTTGACCAGTTCCAGAGTAGGAGCGCAGGTCACCTACTCCTGTGACACCCACCTGGTTCTGGTGGGAGAGACTGTGGCCACATGCTCTCTCCCTTCTCTAACATGGCTGCCTAGTAGTGATGATGTCATCTGTGCACAACCACCAGGTATTTTAGTACTAGTCATCAACTTAATTTTTTACCAACAATATTTAGTTGTATCAAACAGCTCAAGTATAGTGACCAACAAAACACCAGTGGTAACAGTTACACCGACCAAGCAACCAATGAGTAAGGCTGATACCCTGAGTGTTACAGTCTTACAGCCTATATCTCCGCAGATGGTGATAAAAGAGGGAGTTCTCTAACTACAGCAGAAGCAGTGGTCACAACAGGAGTAGTGTGTGTAGTGTGTAGCTTCACTGCTGGACTGCTACTTGGTGTTCTACTGACTCAATGTCGTGGTCACTGTCATAGGAAGGGGAGGAGAGGCCGGACTGAGATGCCTCCTGTTTATGAGGACATTCCCTTGGAGAAGACACCTCCCATTGAACTCAACACCAATGAAGCTTATGGACATATTTCACACAACTAGTTTAACGTTACATTTTTGTTGTACAAAGTGGCATTAACTGAACCTTAACATGTTTTTGCTGTTCTTTAGCAGTTAGCATTGTGACTTCATAATGTCGAATGACATACAGTGCGATACAAACGAGGTGGTGATATGGTTACGTCCGATACAGTGTTTCGATGGTTGTTGCATATTTCTTGTGCACAACAAAACGCCGCACCTTCAGAGTTGGACCTTCAGAGTTGGACCTGCACACGTACCTTAGTAACCAAACATGGACATGCATGAAGGACCATATATACCAAGTTCTCCACCGGGTATTGAGAAATCTCTGTCCAGTAATGTCCATTTTTGAATCTAAGCCCGTGAGATAAGAGATAGGATGGACATAATACAAATACACTGCAGCACAGTAGCAAGATGAAGATGGAATTCATTAACCCTCGGCACGCATGCGCAGCGAGGGTTACGGTACTTGGTCAGTTAGTATGTCTGTCAGTCTACCATGTTTTCTGCCAACGAGACAACAAAACAGTGATACCAATAGGTGGTTCAGTGCTACACTGGCTTGATTTTGAATTTGGCCATTTTAAACCCTCGGCGGCACGCATGCGCAGCGAGGGTTACAGTACTTGGTCTGTCTGTCCGTCTGTCACCACGATTTCTGCCACCACGCGCAACAAACAGGTAAAATAGCGACACCAGTGGGTTCAGAGCTACACTGGCTTTATTTTAAAATAGGTGATTTTCGTAAAAGTGCCGCGTTCAGAAGTTATGGCGTGAAAACCAAGTGAACAAGCCAATTGCTAATTAGCACTGGCTTACCTGGACCTGATCCGCTTGCTCTGTGTACCTCGGAGGCACAAGAAGCCACAACGAAGGGCGTGTATCGACTCCCGCATGCTATCTACTACTGTAGCTAGCCCGTGTCAGACTCTCCGCGTGCTACTAGTGGGAGATCACGAGTATACTAATATAATAGGCCCAGCCCATCAATTAGCGGTACCGCGCATGCGCAGTTCGCCGAGGGTTTGCACTTTAGTGCTTTTCATCTTAAAAGTACTGGGTTCGAGAGTTATGGCGTGAAAACCAAATGAAAAAGCCATTATGCAAATTAGCACAGGCTTACCTCGACCGCGTCCGCTCGCTCTGTGTATTTGCCGAGGGTTTGCACTTTAGTGCGTTATCGTTTCACAGTACACACACAAAAGCAAGGGCTTTTCATAGCATTCAGTGTGTGTTGTCCTTATCAAACATGAGAGGCTATATACTCTGGGTAGTTTACTTGCCCTTGCCTTGCAGCTTTGATGGTGTTCTCTTATCATTGTGAAGCAAACTGTACAGGTATACGTACCTTATGATCATTGGTAGGTGCCACAGTGTTGGCTCTGTGGAGGGAGTCAGTGATGGCGGTGAAGACAGTCTTGTCTCTGCCGGCTATGACTCCAGAGACTGTGGTGGAGTAGGAGCCCAGGGACTCCATCCATCTCCGGGCCAGTGGAGACAGCTGGTCCGTCGGCCCCCCCGTCACTCTGTCCATCACACACTGCAGTAGAGGAGAGCCACACATAATATATACACCGTATGAGGGGAAATCCCCACTAATATCAGCACAGATACTTCATTTAAGACTATGTAGGTTTTGAGTCACGAAATCTGCTTGTCATTGCTCAACAACAAATTTCGTGACTCAAAAACTCCGTCTAAAATGAAGTAACAAGTAAGTAGGCATAGGCCACTCAGTACCCTTGTGCACGTAATTTTTAACAAAGGTGAAGCGAGGTACGTGCTGCTAGCCCAATTCGGGCACGTGGCATTGTTGCATGTAATAGATCAAAGGCTAGTTCGAGAACGCAAGGAGGACTTACTGAGACAGCTTGGCTCTCATGGCTCCATGTGCCACTGGCTCTTGTAAGGTAAGCCTATAAGCGCATGCACTTGTGGCCACGCTAACAACACTGTGAGTTTTGACCAATCAGATTAGATAATTAAATTGTGCCCTGATATATGCTAATTGCTTGCTTCCACTTGGGCAGCCCAAGTCTGAGCTCTTCCTTAGAGCTCCAAATCCAACTTGCAGGGATGAACAAATGGACCAACACAACAGACACCATAGGGAAATATAACATCTTTCGGTCACAAAACATAAATTTACACACTTCTAGAAATTTCAACAAAACTCGCACAATTGTGAACTTTGACCCGGTAGGCAGGTAGAATGGCGGAATTATCTCGTAAAAACACCCACGCATCCTCAGAAGTGGTCAGTCAGCACTTGGATGTGGAGGTTGGAGCTTTGATGTTGCTTTCATCTACCCTTTCAGTACTCGCAAAAAGCAACAAGGTCCGGATTGAGTGACACATGTCATAAATGTCTCAGAAGGCTGAAAGGCAGGCACAGAAGCTGTGCGTAGGTCTGTAAAACGGCAGAAAGAAAGATCGCCACAGCGCGCGTGCGTGGGGATGAAAGGGGTGTGTCGATTTGGGCAGAATCACGCATGCATGCTGAAAAAAACGCCGATCAGGTGCACGCAGAAGCCGAATTTGTGACTGAAAGAGATATGGACCAACACAACATACACAATAGAGACGTACGGAGAGGGTCATGAGGCAGGAGAGGTAAGGTTTGCCGTCCCCAACGACCACCACGTGACTGAGGAATGGCAGCGCTGCAAGGATTCTGCTCTCTATTGGCAGTGGCAGAACTGACTCCCCACCTCTCAGCATTATCACCTCTACACACACAGAAATAGAGCATGTGTCAAACATTTATCACCTACATACATAGGTTAGGTGTCAAAAATATTTCTGAGTCATAATTATCACATCTATAATAATTATTATTCATTATGATTATGCAGATATACAAAGAACAAACAGACTATTCGGGTGTGCTTTAGTTGAGAGCTGATCTTGTGGTCTGCATGTGCCACTGAGACTACTGCTACATGAAAACTTGACCTGCCAAGCTAGCCTATGCCTGGTAATGTTGGCCATATAATTATAGCAACATTCTCTTTGCAAGGAGTGGGACAGTCGCTCCCATTTTGTGCAAACAGAATAAAGCGAGACTGAAACTATTGACGTTTGGGACTAGGTGACCGATGGACCAAAAACACACATCGACAAACTAGTTATTGGTGCTACAGGGAAAGAAAAATGAACATACCACAAGTCCTTCCAGTGACGTATAGAAACCCATTCTATATGAAGACAATTAACATGTAGCTACAGTTAGTTTGAACAAGTGGGAAAACTCTTTAAGATGTACATAAACATTTGGCCTTGTTTACAATTTGTCGTAGATAATAACTGTCTGAGCCTGTCTAACCCACTGACGCTCCCTCCCAGCATGTATATACAGTGTACATGACATTCTGCCGAGCAGTGCCACATACCTCATCAAGGTGTCCGATGTCGCCGGTGTGTAGCCATCCCTGGTTGTCAATGGCTCTGGAGGTCCTGACCGGGTCTCCGAGGTAACCCATGAACAGATGACGACCACTGAAACAGATCTGTACCAGTAACAATGACAGGGGAGTCACTGCCTGGTAAGGTCCAGAAACAAAGTATAGTAAGTCGTCTCTATTGCGCAGTTGCGAGAAGTGTAGTTGGGCAGTCGAGCAAAACATGCATTTCCTACCGATTTTCTCTCCCTGCAAAATTTCCCGCTATGATATTACCACACTACACACCTCTCCCTCTCCGCTGACGTTGGTGTCACTGAGTTTGGTGGAGACGGCCACGAGGTTCTTGCCGGCACTGCCGACCCTCCAGTGGTCCTCCGTGCTCTGGTTCACACAGTGGGCTCCGCATGACTCACTCATACCTACACACACATGCACACTCCAGTTGAGGTACTTGGGAGGATGGAGGGTGTTGGGTTTGACTATGCAGTGTGCTCTGCACTGGTGTGAGCACCAGGTAACTGTACCGTCATTGTAATTCGCTAACTTATTTGGCTGTTGCAAGGAACTGCAGATTCTAACTTGACGTCATCTCCATGAGCCTGCCTGACATTACGGTACTATGTATGTAGCTACATGACAGCCATAATATAAAATATATACCAAGTTTAGACATACACTATACACCTCTCTGGTGTGAGCACCAGGTAACTGTACCGTCATTGTAATTCGCTAACTTATTTGGCTGTTGCAAGGAACTGCAGATTCTAACTTGACGTCATCTCCATGAGCCTGCCTGACATTACGGTACTATGTATGTAGCTACATGACAGCCATAATATAAAATATATACCAAGTTTAGACATACACTATACACCTCTATGGTGTGAGCAACTCTACCGTCATTGTAATTCGCTAACTTGTTTCATTTGTTCGGCTGTTGCAAGGAGCTGTATATGCTACCTTGGAAAAAATTCATCTCCATGAGCCCGCCTGACATTACGGAACTATGTATGTAGCTACACACTGACAGCCATAATACCAAGTTAAGACACACCATAGCCCACGCAAATTCAAACACTTTACGTTGTATCACATACCGTAGAAATTCATGACGGGGATGTTGAGAGACATGAGATAGTGGTAGACCTCTGTCCGCGTGATGGCTCCGCCCACCGCAAATATCTTGCATCTCTGGAACCCCAGCTCCCTCTGGACCCGCTTGAACAGGACACAGTTGGCGACACTCCATCCCCACGGCAACGGTACTCTGCAGGGCATCATAATACCGTAAACCCATTTATATTTAGCGTGCTTCCCTGGAATTCGCTAATTTTGTGGACACCAATAGTACGTACTACATTTCGACTTGTATAGTACTGCTGCTTTCACTGCAATGGTGAATTGGAGGGGGAGGGTGGCAATAAACCAGTGCAAGTATTTCCCAAAGAAATTTCTATGTCCCACTGGTGTGTGCGGTTGACACTTCACATGTGTCGCAATGTTTGATGACATGTTATCATGGTAGTAATAAAGGTCAAAGAACCTCACTTGCTCTGTTTGTTCATGTTTCCCTCCAGACCTATCTTCATGGCCCATCCCGACACAGCTCTCTTGGCCCAGCCCATCTCAGTACACGTCTCCTGCACACACTCCATTATCCTCCCGTACACCCTGCAGCACAGGCAACACATATACCAACAACAGACAGTCACATAGCATCCGTTCAGAACCGAGTACTACGAAACAGTTGTACTGAATTACCATGGTTGTTACTGCACAACAGTCTCCATTGCGGTTTTCAACAGAATGCTGGAGCTAACAGACATAACTATCTGTTGTTGGTAGGTATTCTCAATTAAATGTGAAATAGCCATATGTACATTATACTCATGAAGGTCATTATAGTGGAAACTTCGATAAGGTATGTGTATACCCTCCAAGATAGGGTTGACCTCTCCACAAAGGACACTTGTCTAAACGATTTAGCATAACCTCCGAGATAGGGACAACCTCTCTATCGAACAACAAAATCGTTTGCCCCATAGCGTCTCTTGTTCGGAAATTCCACTGTATTGACTATGGTATGCTTAAACTAAAATCGCAGGTGACTAGAGCAACATTCAGATTTGATAGTGGTGGCAGTTTACTCACATGGGAACTCCATAGAACACAGTCGGTCTGACTTCCTTTAGAGTTTGTCCCAGTGACCCCTGCAGGTGAAGTCAGTAGTTGGGTTGATAACTAGAGAACAAAGGGTACCTTCAGAGCATCAGGCTGAGCAAAGTGAACCGTGGTTGCTACTGTTACTGCCAAATAGATATCTGATATCTGAGGTGGAGAGAGGAGCGATAAAAGACCAGCAATTCATAACCACTATAATTATAGTACTACTATAGTCCAAAGAATGTACTATAGTTCAAGGTACTGCCCCACAATCTGGCCTGGCGTAATACTGCAGTGTTGACAAAGAGACTAGTGCATGTGTGCGTACCAGACACGCCACTTTCACTCTCTCTGTCTTTCACTATAATAATACAGATACACGTGGAGTATGCCTCAAGAGCATCGATCCGGCCGTTAAAGTGGCTCAGGTGGTGAGACAATCAAACAGAGTTCGAATCCTACCCCCACCATATTTTTTCCTTTTTTTACGTTAGTTGCGTGTTAGTAATTCCAAAAAGCCTTGAGCCCCAAAGAGTTGAACAGTAGGGTCTCCCAGTAGTGTATTGTGCATGGAGAGACCTGAGCAGCAATATGGCTGAGAGGAAGGTAGGCCACAGTGTGCTCTGATCCAAACTCCACGGCCTTGTAGGACTGCACCAGAGCCTTGGCAGACCAGGTGAGCTGGGGGACAGAGAGAGAGGAACATCCTCTAATATAAACCTCATCAATGAACATCCAAAACCACTGAGGTGGTTAGTCTTGTACAAGATGAAGTGACTGTAATACAGCAGCTGTATGTAGATATAGAGTTATTCTCACATTGTCGTGGCTCAGCATGACCACTTTGGGATCACCAGTTGTCCCCGGCTGCAGTAACAAAACCACCACCACAAACTATCACGCTGTTCCCAAGAATAAACATTGCTCTAAAGCCCGCTTCACAAAACATCACTGGAGCCCAAGTGACACAACGCGACATGAAGAAAAATTGCATCACGTTTATCTGTCAACCTGGAAGAGTTACGTAACATCTTGTCACTTTCGACCTACTGGATTGTGTCGCTGACTCCAGCTACGTATGTAGTGTGAACCAGGCATAGGCTCAAGGGACTCACAGTGTAGACCAGGGCAGCACAGTGGTTGGCCTGGGTCTGACTCATCCTGTGCTCCATCTCCACTGTACTCATCTCACACCCGAGTCTCATGAAATCCTCCCACTGTATATAGGTGTATAGATGATGTTAAAAAGCTGATTCCGGCCTTTGCCAGGATTGTTAGGTGTAGCACATGATAATGTTTTTATGGTATTTCTTTCCTCTATGTTATTGCCTAAAGAGGCAAATTTTCAAATATCGCATGCTTCTTGTTTTTTGCGAAAGTAATTTTCAATGTTCAGACAAACAGAAATTAGTGCAGTGCTGTTAAATAACCTCAGCTACCCGTGCCAGGCTTACGTGCTTACGTCATAGAGGTTGGGATGCTCCTCGTGCAGTGCTCCATTATACTGGACTATTGCCTTCAGCTCCGGCAGTTGGCCCCGGGTCTTGCCCTAGAGAGAAGGTTGATCCCAGTTGTGTTAGTGCTACAATGAAAAGCACTGAAGTGCAAACCCTCGGCGCATTGTGACGCGCACGCGTGAGTAAACTACGCATGCGCTGTATCACTAATCGATGGGCTGGGTTTAGTTTTAGCTGTTACTCGTGGTCTCTTGCCAGCTCGTGTAGAGTCTGACGCGGCTACTAGATAGGCGATACACGCCCTGCGTTGCATCTTCTGGTGCCTCTGAGGTACGCAGAGCACACGGATCGATCAGACCACAGTAAGACTTCCCGTCCGTCCGTTGCGTATTTTACATATTGGCTTTTTCGCGCTCTAGCTCTGCAACGGAGCATTTTCTGACCTTCGTCGCCCGTTGGGTAGATGGTATCGTTTCTGGGACGAACAGACGTTCGAGGAGTGAGATGTAGACTAACAGACAAACAAACAGACAGACAGACAGACCCAACTACTGTACCCTCGCTGCGCATGCGCCGAGGGTAATAACCAAAGTGCGCACTGAAAAAACGGCCAAGCTATGGCCACCTGGAGATATTGTAAACAACCAGCCTATAAGGAGGTCACATGGTAAATGGGTATACAGCAACATTGGTCCCAGAGACTGAAAATATTATGTTGCACATCAGAATATTTTATACAGTGAGGCTGCAGAGTGTATATTCACCGTGAGTAAGGTTGACATGAGAGAGTAGTTCTCCACTACTGCCACAGTAGCCCGAACCTTCCTGGCCATCCCAAACAGCTCCTCTCTACCAATGGCAGTGTGGACCCCACACGATAGGCCTCTGGGTGGACAACGCACGCCATTGAACAGGCCAATATTAATGGTGGTTGTATTGGGAGCGTTATATAATGAGCCATTATGTGTCATTCGGCCTCTGAATATACAGCCGTGCATACAATAACTATGTACATATTGAGGGTGAAACACACTCTCAGTAGTATTTTCAACATGTATGGCGTTCATGGCAGCTACGTGTGTGTGTGTGGTGTATGACGACAGAGAGAGAGAGAGTCTTACCCAGCAAAGATGGCTCCCAGTGCAGACACATGCCACTGGACAGAGTTGGAACCAGCAATCACCACAGCTGTGAATGGCTCCACTCCAAGCTGTAGGAAAACAACCGATATTCTCTGGGTTTTTCATTGGGATTTGTGCAGTACTACATATTATACGAACATGCCTCCAAGCATGGTTTATAAGAGATCATTAAATAAGGTGTGGCAAGTAACGATACTGATGGGCTGTGAAAACAATCCAGGTGCTCGGCTTGAGGCTCTCCATTGTCCTATATACTGCAATGTTAGCATAGTAAACCGCTCCATAGGGAGTTACTCTAGTGATAGCATCAACCACACTGGGTGCTCACCTTCAGAAAAGACTTAGCAGCGGACAGACATTGACGGTAGTAATCTCTGTAAGTAACGTCTCGCCAGCTACCCCCTGAGATCTTGTACCGTAGAGCCACGTGGTGCGGGACCCTCACCACCGTCCGCTGCATCATCTCGCCCACCGTGAGAGGCTCGGCTGCAGCCAGCCCGCTCTCCCCCATGGCAATGTCCACAGCCTCATCGGGTCTGGACGTCGAGTACCGTACTCTGGGGATGCTAGAGCTCCACCTTCGCTGCGGGAACCGCTGCGGAGACTGTCCTTCCACGCGGTCAACTACCACAAAGTCCTCCGCGAGGTCGCCGTTGTGCGACGGATGTTGACATGGAGTCTTCTGGGGTCTGCCATCCGCCGCACCGCCTGCCGATGATTGGTATCCAGAGCTGCTACTGCAAGAGCTAGAGGCATCGTCCATCATCGCAGGATTTGTTAGAGTGCCTTGTTGCTCCGATATAATTATCTGGCTGTTGCTCGTGTGCGCGCATGCGCGTGTCATGACCTGACGCCCTGCGCATGCGTATATACCCGTGGTTGTTTTGGGGGGAATGACTGACGAACAAACCATTCCGAACGACCGAACGACTATAGCTATAGTTGGAGTATCAAAAACATTCCAGTGACGTGGTGGTCTAAACTTTTAGTAAGAAACGCTCAACCAGCCGTCCTGAATACCTTGAATAAAGCTGCAGCGAGCTGTGCAAAGGTGGCTTGATAAAATGTATATAAATGCATGTTTCACCTGTATGTTAACAGCAGGGTGGCCTAAACTTAATAAATAGGAAGAGCGGGGGGACACTTTTAAGGCAGAAAATGATGAGAGCAAGCTGTGCTTTGGTTTTTGCCAACATTCTCTACTTACAGGGTCCCTGTAAGTAGAGATAATATTCCCTGTGTCCAGTTGGATCGAGCTAGGCCAGCACGGAGCAAGCTGCTATAGAGACAGCCTTTTATGTGTAGGCTGTATACATACGCTACATTCGACGTCAGAATTGGTTCTTTATGCTCGTATTTCCATTAAATATAATCTCAAACTAAACACCTGATAACAGACATGGGCTATGTAGATATTGTGGACTAGACGGCGAAAGTCTGCAGTGGGTTCGTAGCTGTCAGACTTTGTAGCCAATGATGCTCTTTCTCCCGATCATCTCCCCGACATAGAACCAGCAGGCAATCTCCACGGCCACCAGACTGTTCCTGGTTGCTTCCTTGACACTGCAGTCCAAGAACTTGCCAGACAGAGTGGAGTTGAACAGACTATTGGGTCAGGAAACAGAGAGAAGATGGCATATACAACAAGCTATATAGAGCCAACAGTCACTCTTTTGTGTTCATTCGCATCTCATGTACCGTATACTTTTCTGAAAGGTCAAGTATTATTAGACCATCTACTACAGTGGAACATTAGGAACATGCATAGATATGTTGCAAAGGCAGTCTATCTCAGAGTGACAGCCTAGTATCAAGCAGCAGAGTTGAGGCCTTTTAAAGCTATGATCGGTCATTCATACAAGCTAAGGGTGCCAATCTCTCTCAAGGTCAGAGTGACAAGTGCATACTTCCTCACTTGCCAAAACCCTGTCGAATGGCTGGCCATTGTGACGGTGTAGGCGGCACTAACTCCACTCTCGCATGTCCCCAAAACGTCTGTAGGTGAGGCTGAGCCACCCTCGACAGCGCTGTAAGAGATAAATGGTGAGCTTCAATTAGAATCGCATCACCAAGAGCGAAAAAGCGGACTAAAATGATGACAGGTTCATACCAAGGGTTCCTGATGTCGTTTTTGACACGACTTTCGTCCCCCAGGCAGCCATTCTTCCAGCCATCTCAAGGCACTGTCTGCTCTGTCTCGCGCAAAAAACAAAATATCCGTAAACTCCGTCCGTAAATTGTAAGTGACCTCATACTCATGCGTGTCCAATGAGCCCCGCCCTCACGGCTGCATGGTTGTAATACACCGACGCAGTTTCTGTTCCCCACGAACGTGGCATAGTGTAAAGAAGATGGGAAGCCTCCTTTATATGGTCTTCTTTGCCTACCTCGTCAGCTATTGCTGTGCAGTCTTTACCAAGCCAGCAAACGACCCATCAACCACCAACATCACCACGGTGTACCTGGTCTCCTCCTGCCACCTGGACGTGGGGTTCGCCAATACGGCAGCCAACATCGTCAACGAGTACTTCGACACCTATTTCCCGGCCGTCCCGAAGATTGTGGATCAACTGCAACAGGCCGGGCTGTCAGAGACGCTTGTCTTTACCACTCACCCGTTTCTCGTCTGGCTCTACCTCAACTGCTACCCCGAGCTGGGCCTCCACTGCCCCGGCAGTCAGGCCGTGCAGAATTTCACGGCGGCCGTCAAGAGCGGCCACATCACCTGGCACGCCTTCCCGTTCAACTCAGAGGTGGAGTTTTACGACTCTTCCCTGGCAAGTTTTGGTTTCCAACTTACTCATCAGCTGGACAAACTGTTTGGACGCAACTCCACGATCACGATGAGTCAGCGGGATGTCCCGGGCATGACACGTTCTGTCATCCCTCTCCTAGTCTCCAACGGTGTTCAGGCCATCACAGTGGGAGTCAACACAGTTTCAATGCCACCGGTGGTACCGTCTGTCTTCCGCTGGCAGGACCCTGTCTCCCAGACCGAGGTGGTCGCCATGTGGCACCCCCATGGCTACGGGGGTCAAAATGGACCAAGTCTCGACAGTGTGGTCACAGTTCCCGGGATGCCCGTCGCTCTAGCTTTTGCCATTCGTGGTGACAACAGTGGTCCTCCGAGTGCTCTTGAGGTTCTGAGGAACTATGCCACGCTCCACGAACTGTTCCCCGGTGCTAGAGTAGTAGCATCTGGCTACGATCAATTTGTCAGTGAACTAGTAAAGTACAAGTCTGGTCTGCCAGTGTACAGTGGTGAGATAGGAGACACGTGGATACAGGGAGTAGCCTCCGATCCGTGGAAAACTGCCGTGACTCGGGAAGCTATGAGACTGCGCAGCAAATGTCTCGAGAGTGGAGCGTGCTCGATGAATGACGCGAGGTTTGTGGCATTCTCAACAATGCTGCTAAAGAGTGGAGAGCACACGTGGGGCAAGGACATTAAGAGATTTCTCAATGACACCACCAACTGGGAGAATGATAAGTTCCACTCCCTGCAGCACACTGACCCCAAATTTGTCGATGTGACAAACTCGTGGATTGAGCAGAGACTCTGGGGGAATACATTTCCAGTGGACCTGCTAGGAGACCACCCGCTTAGAGCTGAGATAGAGAGTTCAGTGGCTGCCATGAGGTTCGGTGGTACTATTGATGTCACGGGATACAAGTTGCTGGAGAATATCTCTGAGGTTGTGCAATGTGGTGGGCTCGAGGTTCAGTTTTCTAATAGGACTGGTGGTATTGTGCATCTGGAGGATGTGCGTCAACCGTCAAAGCCTGTGTCGTATGCCGACAGTAACCTTCACCAACTAGCCGCAATCTTATACCAGACCTTCGTATCTCAAGATTACGATACGTTTTTCAGTGAGTATTTGTACGACTCGCGACCTTCGTTTGCCCGTCAGGACTTTGGCAAACCAGGCTGGAACGGTACTGTAAGGCTATCAGTTCATCCGCAGCCCACCAGCCTCTGGTACAGGGAAGACAGAGACACATGCACCCTCCTTCTTCGCTCTGTGTTTGACTCCAAAGAAGTAACAGTAGATTTCGGAGGTGCAGAAGAGTTCTGGACACAGGTAGCACTACCCAAGACCCTGTCAACCGCTGAGCCCCTCACTCTTAACCTAACAGTCTATCTCACGAACAAGACTGCCACCAGGATCCCCGAATCTCTCTCGCTTGTCTTCAACCCACTCGTCCAGAACCCGTCCGCCATGCTGGTGAGCAAGCTGGGAGAATACGTTAGTGTACTGGACGTGATGAAGAATGGGAGTAAGCACCTCCACGGCAGTGACTGGGGTATCACGTACACTAATGGTCCCAGTTTCTATGCCCAAGATACTAGTCTGCTGTGTGTTGGAGCTCCCACTCCGTTTCCTACCCCCATGGAGCAGCCAGATGTGGACCAGGGTTTCGCATTCAACCTCATCAACAATATCTGGGGAACGAATTACATCATGTGGTACCCTTACTTGAAAGAAGATGCCTCTTCAAAGTACAATTTTCAGATTACCTTACCCAAGTAGAATTGCAAACCATCACTCATGCGCATGCGTGCTAGGGGCGAGGGCGGCTTTATAAAGTAAATTTCCTGTCTGAAAGCGGCGGAGCGGTCCAGCGGACGACGATGTTTTCCAGAGTGCTAGTCTTTGTGTTGTACTGCGTGGTGTGTATCGCCTCCGAGCGGCAGCACGTCTGTATACATGGTCAACGGGAGGAGGAGGTAAGGACGTATGAAAGGATGAGGGTGAAAAACCTAAGCTACGCAGTGTTCCGTTCGTAAGTGTAGCGTTGGTCTAGCTAGTGTTGTAGCTAAAGAAACGAGCTTCATACAGACTCTGTGATCTCACGTGCAGTTGACTCTAGGTGTGAGACTGTCACCAGAGTCCGACCATGCTGCAAAGAGAGAGGCTACGGATCCCCGGCCGATCAGATTCCGCCCGTACTTCGACGACACCGTCACTTCCAAGTCAGTAGAGCTACACAGCAGCTAGCATGTAACTTTTATAGCTTGTATCTCTGCTGTAGCTGAGATGTATAACTGTGTGTCTGTTTCTCTTGCAGCTCAGATTCAAACCAGAGAGAAATGATCCAGGTGAGCATAATTATTGCACAATTAGCTACATTTCTGCATCCTTCCGGGAAATATTTATTCATACATGGTTGCATGAATAAAGGAGGAAGATAAGCTGTGTGACAGCCCTAAAATACCAGCATCCTGATGGCTGCTCTACATCTTAGCCTGCCTCACTGTCTCTCAGCACTGCCTGATCACTCAATTGATCGATCAGTATCCAATATGAAGCAAGCTTCATGTACGAACAGAAATTCTTTTTTTACTCAGTGAAAGTTTATCCCTATCTCTATAGCGGGTAACAGAGCTATTAATAACCAGTTATATCACCTGTTTGTGCAGGAAGTTGTACCAGCAGTCCTTAGTTTCTTCTCAACAGTGGTGTCTGTCCCTCCAACCCCAAGCCCTGTACTGCTGGACAGGTAATCTTGTCTTTCCTCTTTTCACCCTTCTTGTTTTATGGCTCATAGCCAAATGTGTTGGCAGGTTCATAATAATTATTTTATGCAACCCCTTGCTTATGTGTTGCGTATTTTGCGTTAATTCTAGGAATGTATAATTATACCTATGCTCAAAATAGTTCTTTGCACTTCCATTAGTAGGCAATGGTGCACTGAAATTCTTGCATAAAAAGCTATGCTGGCGTCCAAAGACACCTGATGCTGATGTATGGAAGAGCTCGTGTCAATAATGCGAACTGGCCTTTTTGGGAGTGTTGTTGCGACACAGTAAGCATGTGACGACCATATAAAATATGCTGTGCCCTAGGGAATAATATGCTGTACTAATGTGTGCATACATATCTGGCAGGTCTTGTTCAGGAGGTGGTTACTACGTACCGGAGGGAGGGAGCACCGTGCGGAGGTGCGTGGACCAGTGTGTTAGCACAACGTGTGGTGGTATAGTCACCATCCCCGACGACCACCTCAAGGTATGGACACATGGGTGTGGTGTGTGTGTGGGGGGTAGACGTGTCACAGAGCTGGCAAGTTTGTATAATTATTATGAAGCATCCGTACACCCATAGATAATGCCCAGCGCAATGTCCGTAAACCTCAAAATATTATCACATGATGATATGTGTGCTTGGCAGCTCTGGTGTGGTATACACCCTCGGAGAACTTATCAGATGAACCTGCAGACTCCTGGGGTTGTGTGTACTATGACTCGGCCGTATTGTATAATTATTATAAGCTATTATAGAGAGGGGCCCTCTTTACTGTATTATGCATTATACAGCTGTACTTGTAAGCCCATAGAGTTTAAGTTACCCTCTTCCTACAGCGGTGTGTACAGTGCAACAATACAAGTCCACAGTCGCTGCAGTGTTCACCCGGTGTCCCATCCACGGATGGGGCAGGAGTGGCCGACACAGATTACATCCTCTACATATCAGCTCTTCCCTGTGTCGAGGGTCCAACTCTGGCCTTTGCCGCTGCCTGCCAAATGGAGAGCCAGCTGGACCGGCCCATCGCTGGTTACATCAACTTCTGCCCCAACAATCTCGGGGAAACGACCAGGGACTACCTCTTTCAGGTCGCCAAGCACGAGCTGTTCCATGCCCTGGGATTTTCTTATTCACTAATGGCCCTTTGGAGAGATAGCTCCGGGGATCGGCGCACACCAAGGTAGGCCCATAGATGAAGAGAGGAGGGGGGAGAATTTTTTCTCACACCACAAGTGTTTTTGCACAACCTCGCAGTAGAATCGGTTGTTGTCACAAACCCTTCTTGTTTCCTCCCAATATTGGCCTAAGATTGTTTTGCATGCACTGAAGACTCGTTCAAAAACTAGCTCCCCCCCCTCCCCCCTGCAGTGATCAGCAAATTCCCAACACTGTCACCACTGTGAACTATGCCACCTGGGACACATTCTCTGGACCCAAGGAGCACACTGTCACTGTTCTTAGGACCGAGGCTGTCCTGGTATGTCAGGCTAGTACAACAACCTCTTCAAATCTCTGTACTGACCTTATGGATGACAAGCAGTCTGCCACGTTGTTTTACTTTCTCTCTTCTGCTTAACCATGCAAATCTTAGCTATAGGCAGCATAAGTTCTAATCCAGTGAACACTCAACCATTGGGTATTGGGGGCAGCCCCACCCCTGGGAATAATGGTAGGCAACAACAGTAAGATAGCTTATCGAATCCAGCCAGGTCTCTGTATGTGTGTGTCATGGCACCTCATCATTTTACTGCATTATGGAGTGCCATGTTCTCTGTAAGGAAATTCACATTTCTGCTGTGATACCCATATGATGTCCCTGTAAGTCTATACCAACCAACCAACTTTGGTATATGTTACCCCAGCAATGGCGCATTATATGGTATGATTTATTGGCCAGTAGTAGCACCCACTTGGCTGTACTACCACCAACAGCAGAGGGCTGAGTCAGAGGGCTGAGCTACTTCCTAATCAACACCCACTTTGCTTTCCTTATAGGGAATTCAGGCATTGTGCTGGAGAAACATATACCGAGTAGGTTTTCCAATGGCAAGTATGCTCTATTCGCGCTGTGTGCTCAGAACATACTTGCCATCATCAAACCTATACGTAATCTGTGCTGCTTTGGTGTGTTTAATACTCTCGTTCTAAGCATTTTTGCGGCTGTTCATGTGACCTAAGTCTGTGAAAGTGAAATAGCAAACAGATGCCTTTAAATGTTAACTGTCACTCATCTCTCTCCCTCCTCTCTTTCCTTCCCCCCTCACCATCTCCTCCCTCCCCCTTCCCTACCTGTGACTCCAGAGGGAGGGCAGGGGCTCACTTTGGCTGCAGTGATCTGGAAGGAGTGGAGCTAGAGAACCAGGGAGGCAATGGTACAGCTCTCCAGCACTGGGAGAAGAGAGTCCTCGGGGTCAGTTCATCAGCTACTGTATGGCTTCTGTTATATGTAATGGCTTCTAGCTCACAAAACAGAATGAGATAGTGTGAATAGTGAGATATATTATAAGGTATGACAGAGAATTGATGGTAAGAAGGGAATACGAATGACTTTCATGCATAATAATTACGGCTTGATAATTATGAGAGAGACACAATAATGGCAACAATTTGGCAGCTCAAAGCAAGCACATGGCATTATAATACCTGTCACTATCATACGGTGTCATTTCAATAATTTTGTAGCATGTAAACATGTAAGGAAGTCCTATTGGCGAGTGGGAGCTAACCTAGCTAGTGGTTCATACGGCTTCATTTTCCATATGTACGTTGGTACATAACAATAATAATAATTTTATTGGTAGTGTAGTGTGAATTGCAGCGGCTGTATATGCTGCTTGCTCATTCCACGGGCACTTCGGTATGTAGTATGCCTTTCATTGTGCATGGAATACCAGACATACCATCAACAGCTAAGGTCATATGTGGAACTTGGCAAGCTATCCAATACACACATAAGACTCACTGCAAGTTGTTTGTTAATTCAAACACCCATCTGTACCCAAATGCACAGAACGAAGCCATGACAGGGATCTTTGACTACAACCCAGTGTTCTCCCGGCTGAGTCTGGCCGTCCTGGAGGATAGTGGCTGGTACACTGTGGACTACACTGCTGCCAAGGACCTTCCCTGGGGCCGTGGGAGAGGCTGTGACTTCGTTCGCAGAGGATGTGGAGATATGCTAGAGTGAGATCTCCTATTGTGACATATACAGTGAAACATCTGAATAAGGGACACCTCGGGGACATCTGAAAAGATTCCTCTATTCATAAATTTGGAGCATTACTAATGTGTTATTAAGTTTTTGGTATTGTCAGTATTTGGTATGACACTTTGCCCTTGTACTTATATGATTCCTCAAGCCGTTCTGCATCCACCCATGTGCCACGTTATTGTAGGCTTAGAAATGTGGAAACCTGACCTGATACAGTGATGGGCATAGCTCCAACCACGGCATAACCACGGTGAACCAGATGTACAAGGAGTACTCTGCAAGTGGTATTTGGCTCTTACACTATCTTCTGCTTTTACAAACTACCACCAATTCACTCTGCGTAGTTTGAGGATGTTTTCCTTTCAACACCATGATTACGTATAATTATACAACTCTGCAACCACCTCTGCAGTGAGAAGCCATACTGTGGCATGGATATAGGGGACAAGACATTTGGCTGTACTCTGGACAGAGGCTCTGTAGCCATCTGCAGTCTAGGGACACTAGATGAGGATGTCCCTGCTGATTTCAGGGTTAGTGAAACACCTCACAATATCTGCTTGTATCTGTGTGTCAATGGGTGGTGTCATAATGATTGCAGTATCTTCCTGACGATGTGGGTGGATCTCTGGAAATCGCTGATTACTGCCCATATTTCAGGGTGAGTCCCACACAAAATACAATGTTCCCCACCATACACATAATGAGCAGTTGATCTATTGCCATAAGTGGATATTGGGGGTTCTCTCTAACTGTTATAATAATAATAGGGAATCACGAGACAATCGGGCAGGACTGGCAACTGTACCAACTCGATGAACCAACCTGATGACTCCACCAGTAGGTTTACGCATGTATACAGGGAATTGTTAAAATCTAACGTGCATGCGCAGACCCCACACATTGCCGTTCTGGCACCACCACCACCACCAACTTTAGGTGCTTCATAAGCAGTATATAGATACTAGAAACCCTGACATAACTACATACAATTAACTTTCATGGCATGAAACACAAGCGAAAGCAAATGTGCTAATAAGCAATGGCCTATTATTTCATTATACAACGCTTGAGTGTAGGTTAATGAGTCTTAATGAAACACGAGCTGACACAGTCACCCTCCCTCCTCCCTCTCTCTGCTGAGCAGATCCGGGAGAGGATGTGTTTGGAGAGACGTATGGAGGAGACTCTGTGTGTCTGGAGCAGGGCAGAGGCTGGCAGAAGATCACTGACAACAGTGGCAGGAAATCCACCCTCTCTGTCGGGACGTATGGCGGAGGATGCTATGAGGTAGTAATGTGCTTTTTGGCATGCAGGCAGAAAGAAATCAGTATAATAGTATGTACATGCTTACTAAAGTAAAGTGCTCCACATGTCAGTTGGCATTGGTTTGGACAATGCACGCTGCTTATTGGAATGGGGACAGAATGTGCTCTTCCTTCTCACGGCACATAGAGAGAACAGCTCTGTGCATTTATCTTATTATTCATTTTTATGCGCGTATGTCTGTGATCGTTACAATGACAAAAACCTGACTGATGCAGACGGAGTGTTCGGCTGATGATGGACTGACGGTGTATGTACGTGGGGCTCCATTCCAGTGCGAATGTGAAGGACAAGAGGTTAGTGTTGATCAACCACAGTCCCTATACCTTTATTACCCCTGCTGTACAGTTGGTGGTGGATGTCACAATCTGTCAGACCACCTACCGAGGCTCCATCATCTGTCCCTCCTGTTCCTCTGTCTGTGGTGCCAACCTCTGCCCTTCAACTGGTACACACCACCATCCACCTCTGTGTGTCCTATAACACCCAGCAATGTTCACTTCTTTCTGTTTTCCTCCCCATCTCCCCTCCCTCCCTCCCTCTCCTCCCCTTCTCCTCCCTCCTCCGGTACAGAACCACCATCATGTCCAGGCAATGTCAAAGAATTTGAACCAGTGACAGTTGCAACTGACTGTACAACTACAGCTGCGACTACTACAGCAGGATCCACTGGCCAAGGGGTTCTCCCAATACTTTCCATACTACTGCTAGGACTAGTTGGAGTGATTATGAAATAGACACCAGTGATACATGTACATATATGCACATTCTAGAACACTATTATTTATCTGAGTGTCTCAGTCACCTATAATCTATTCACGTTGAGTAGTCCACTGGATGTTTGCGCGCGTTGGAATGTGCAAGAAATCTGACACCTGGCCTTAAATATGTCAGTGAATCAGAACCACTCTTCTATAGTTGTTGGTGCATATAAGAGACGCCCCCACCTATATATACTTCAGTCTGCCGACTATTATATGAGTTGGAGCTGATCTCTATTTTGAGATCCAGGACCAATAATATGTCAACAGTTACATAATAATCAGTAACCAGAGTACCGTACATGCCCATACAGGTGTAATATCGTGCAGTTTGACAGATGTCTCATGCACGTACTATATACAAAAGGCCAGAACGTTAGTTATTACACACGTTACTGAATGCGCAGTTTGCGGCGTGGGGTGATAAATCTTGCAAAAACCGCACGAAAAGGTGAACACAGGGATACATGTGCAAAAACATGCACCGAAATCACAGGATGCACTACAGATTTGAGGTACAAAGTGTCATGGGAGTCTCTTGTGTACAACATGAGCAGGGAGGGGTCAGTAGCCATACTTCTCATTGAGATACGTTCTACCATCCCCAGTCTGATCTGAGGTATGTGTATATAACATGAGTTTCAACAAAGTGTGCTTCACATTCCCCAATGGAAATCCATCGTGAATAACTGTATGTGTGTGCTTGGGGGAAGTGGGACGAGGTTGCTGAGACAAAAGGGTGTGCATATTTTCATATAATCAAAGCAACGTCCTCATTACACTAGACCAAGTGTGTGGATGTGGTCTTACTTTCAGGAGGCAGCCAGGAGGCAAACTCTGGATCTGCTGTTTCACTCACTGCCTTCTGTGCGGGGTAGAAATGACAGTCATACACAGTGCTGCACACAGAGTTTGCTAGTCTCTCAGCCCTATGCATTGGCATGCATGCACACTAAAGCTTAAAGGGAGAGATTGGTGTGCATGCCCTGATGCATGCACGTGAAATGCGCATGGCTCACGGTACCGTCAAGGTTGACTATATCATACCATCTAGCAAACTATAGGAACCACTATTGGATCAGTAACCCTAGAGATTTTCATAGTCACTGGGAGTATATTATACTAGGCGCACGGAACGGTTCTTCTCCAACCTTTTGTTCAGGTTCATCTCGCTGGGGCAGTGGGGCCAGGGCTGGTCCCAGTACACGAGACTTCTTCTGAGCTCCCTCCCCACCCCCAGTAGTAGCCTCAGGGCCTGATGACGACGACGATGACCTCCTCCCTACGTGGACATTAGTAAGGAGAGACACACGATTTGAGATGGGTGTAGACACGACTTTTGTTGGACGTAATGCACGCATGTGGCCAGGTAAAGTGAAATCTCTGAATAAGGGACACCTTGGGGGCAGTGAAAGTGTCCTTTATTCGCAGGGGTTAGTATAACACACTAATGGCAAGGGTCCCTTATAGAGAGGTGTCCTTTTTTGATCAGAGCGTTCTTCTTCAGAGTTTCCACTAAATGTGTGTAATGTGATGTGTGCTAAAGTGTGCGGAAAGCTCTTACTTCGTCTCCTAGAAGATCGTGAAGGTGGAGGCATGGGTGATGAATCTCCACCACCGCCTGTGGTAGGCTGGCCGGGTGACACTGAGCCAGTGGTCCCACTGACAGAGGGTCTGTACCTCCTCCAGACTGGTCTGTGGAGCCATCTCTATCTGTATCTCCACCAACTCCTCTGTTCTGACCTTCTCCTCCACCAGAAGATTCCACAGTGGTGGTGGTTGCAGGGCGAGTACCACCCAGTCTTTCCTCCCCACTGACTGACGTGATACCACTGTGCAACACAATATCATACACGTTTGTCTGAGGACACAGTACACGTAGTGAGTCTAAGACGCTAGCCCAGAGTTCAATCAAAGTCATGTGCATATAAATATGTAGTGAAGAGAAGAGGGGGACCTTGGCTGCAGAGATGGCATTTCTGTCGGTTTTGCTACTTTCATCAACCTTTTTGATCATCTCTTCTTCCTGGAACATGTGGTAGACATACAGTACACGAAGCCTTAATAACCCTTTGGACGCCATGGATATCTCCTTAAATAAGCAGAAATTATTGTATAGTGTATTAGCGCCTAGTATGACTTACGGAGGCTCTGGACATTTATGTGTCCGTGGCTGGTTAAGTGTTAAGTACCGAGTGCAATCGTCGCCGTAGCTATACAGATAGGGACAGCAAGATAATTGCGAGACGGCATTTAGGGACTCGGAAATGTATGGGGAATGAGATAAGTACAAGTTGATAGTAGGTTTGACGTTGTTCCACTTACATGCCTGCAAGAAATGCAAAGATTCTAAAAACGAGGGTTCAGTGCAGTACGTAAATGGCTAAGGTTAGCTCAAAGTCAATTTTACGTGATATAAGGATAGGGACTTGATAGTTGGTTTAACACTCTTCCACTCAATGTGTTGGGAACTGAAATGTTGGAGGAACACAGGGAAAGGAGGTTTGCGTGCACTGACTGACCTTCCTGAGGCTGAGGGACTGTCTCTTGAGTCTGGTGACAGTGGCGGGGTCCAACTGGGAACTGACGACACTCATGTACTGATCCAGTGGGTCGCCCTCTCCACTGTCTCCCTCTGGGGACAGACAGACAGACAGACAGACAGATGGGCAGACAGTCAGATGGACAGACAGAGACAGACAGATAGACCAAAGTAAAATGCACTAAGTCAACTTACTGGCACTCTTTGATTTGTTGAGTCGGGCTTCGATACTCTGCCTTTCTTTCATCACCTCATCAAACCTCTTTACCTAGAGCACACACACACACACACACACACAGAATCACCCACGCTATCATAAAGTGGTACCATATTAGTACCAGTGAGTCATAGTTCTCAGCCTGGTCTTTTAACTTCCCCAGCCTCTTCATCCGTTGACGTCTCTTTTCCTCCACTGCAGAGAGAGAGGCGTCATAGCATAAGGAGGTTGAGTGGTACTGCAAGAGTGACCCACATTCTCCAGTTCTGTCGAGGAAGGAGTCCTCGTCACTGTCGTAGTAATCATTCTCCTCCCAGTTCTTGGTCACCCTCTGCCTCCCTGTGCATACAATACAGCACACATAAAAACTGTACTACACAGCAGTAAGTTTTCACATAATGTATACAACTTGGTCTTTGTGTAAATTAAACCATCACTATAGGGAGTGTTGGTAACTCAAATTGTTAAATTTCAAAACCTGTCGCTCGGAGTAAGCGATCGCCCAGGCAATTTATAGAAAAGTGGAAGATTGAGTCAGAGAGAGGTATCTGAATCAATGACAGTATTTCCCTCATGCAACTGGTGTCTTCTCCCTCGAGGGTTACAGTACTGGGTGCGAGATGCTAACTCTGGGAAGCGGCTCTGAGCATGTCGTTTGAGTCGAGGATGCGGCAGGCCTTGAGAGCACACTGGAAGACGGCCTCTTTCTTCCTCCCTCTCACATTCTCCTCCACCACCACCTGGCCCCCTCCACTCTCTATCGGGAGACTGTACAACATACGTACATATGTACAGGTGGGGAGAGAAACCATACTGAGTGTGTTGCAGCACATGACAACAACGAGGTTGCAAGGAAAGTAAAAAGGTCAACTGCACCCAGGACAACTCTTATTTTCCAAGGAAAAAAAGAAGAGCTGCCCTACGAGTATTCACTACATTACCTGGTGTGTGTGTATTGCATGGTTGGCTAAAACAATACACACACACCAGGATTCTAACCCACGACACTGCTTTCTGAGCGAGTGCTCTACCAACTGAGCTACCAGGGCAACTCAGCCGGTAGGGGTTCCTGCATGTTAGCTGGAAACTTTCGAGGAAGGAAAACGTTTGAGAACTGTACATGCAATGAATACGTTTAAAATATCTACCCCACAAAAATTTGGTTACCCCCCCTATTACAAGCACATATTGTATATGTAAGTATGAGGTACTGTAAGGTTGCTTCATAGCACATGCTGCATGACACGTGACCATACACAAGTTGTCATGTGTTATTGTGCAGGAGCACGTGGTCTATTGGTGAACTCACGTGACCCTGGCGATGTAAGTCTTATCACGACCACTCCCCTCCTCCTCCACCTCATACTCCAGCTCCAGACCTGAGTCCAACAACAAACACCATACTCATGCAGGGCTCTGTCATGAAGATAACTGACCAATACCACTATGTATGTATCTACCCCAAAGTACACACTTAAGTGCATCAGTAATAATCTTGTTCAAATTTTCCAGCAACTGATGCACGTAGCTGCTAAGGAAAATGCTACAACTCCCTTGCTTGGGTATATACAGGGGTGTGCTGATGCACATAGTTGCTAAGGAAACTGCTATGGTGTTTCTGTTTAGCACATGACCTGTGATGTCATCAGCCCCATTAGCAGAGCATACCCAACTCCCTTGTCTGGGTAGGATTGTGTTCTGCCCACTGGTTTCTTTGGCTAACAAATGTTTGTGGCAGTGCAGTAGAGTCAAAAACGTCAACACCTCTACCATACCTGACCCTAATCTACCCTAGCCAGTATTCTACACCTTACACCCTTACCCTACCCTTACCCTACCCTTCCTCTACCCTTCCTCTACCTACGTATGTACCTCTACCCTTCCTCTACCTACCCTACCCTTCCTCTACCCTTCCTCTACCTACGTAGACCTCTACCCTTACCTTACCCTTCCTCACCTACGATGTACTCACCCTTCCTCTACCTACGTATGTACCTCTACCCTTCCTCTACCTTACCCTACCCTTCCTCTACCCTTCCTCTACCCTTCCTCTACCTACGTATGTACCTCTACCCTTCCTCTACCCGTATGTACCTCTACCCTTCCTCTACCTTACCCTACCTCTACCCTTCCTCTACCCTTCCTCTACCTTCCTCTACCTACGTATGTACCTCTACCCTTCCTCTACCCTCACCGTACCTAAAACTACCTACCCTACCCTTCCTCTACCTCCTCATACCACTTCCTCTCACCCTTCCTCTACCCTTCCTCTACCTTACCTATACCCTGTCCTACTAACCTGTACCCTCTACCCTTCCTCTACCTTACCCTCACCCTTCCTCTACCCTTCCTCTACCCTTACCACCCTACCCTACCCTCTACCCTTCCGTCTCTACTTTCCCCTTCCTCTACCTTACCCTACCCTTCCTCTACCCTTCCTCTACCTTACCCTACCCTTCCTCTACCCTTCCTCTACCTTACCCTACCCTTCCTCTACCCTTCCTCTACCCTTCCTCTACCTTACCCTACCCTTCCTCTACCCTTCCTCTACCTTTCTCTACCTATGTACCTCTACCTTACCCTTCCTCCACTCTACTCTACCCAAAAACAGTTGACGTTTTGTTGACTCATACTGTAAAAATCCTGAACAGTCTCTACTGCTACTCATTGAGTGAGTGAGACCTTCTCTGTCAAAGTATTTCTTGAGGGCCTTCTTTGGGTCGTCCTTGTAGTAGGCCTCTCTCTCAGGGTCAAAGGTCACCTCCTCCTCCTCGTTCTCCCTCCGGTCTATCTCGTCCATCACTGTAACAACAGTCAGTTTGTGTGTGGGAGGGTGTACATAATTATGTATGTAGAACAGAGTTCAGTTCTGGGGCTCTGAACTTAGGCTTCATCTCGGAGTCTTGGACGTGGCTACAGTAATATGCAGTATACAGAGGAAACTCTTTGAAAAAAAAAATAGTACTGAACTCTGTACAGTGCATATATGGAATCCTCTACCACCCAGGTGCCTTCTGGCAGAACTGATGACTGTTGTGAAGTAAAACACTCACCCATGCCCCAGGTGGCTCCCATCTCCTCCCTCTCTCTGGCCAGCCTCTCCCTCTCCTCCTCCCTCCTCCTCTGCCTGGCCTCCATCTCCTCCTTCTGTCTCCTCAGCTCCTGTATCTCAGCCTCTGCCTCTGCCTCCACCATCTCCTGCCCCTCTACTCCTACATCTCCACCCACCTGACACATCCAATACACGTCCAAGTATAATCATAGAGCAGTGGTAGGCAAAAGCCACCTGGGCTACTCCTTCATCTACCTTTAAGTTCAGTTTACACGTCTATACAGGACACTTACCCACCACAATCTGTTAAAAAGGGCATGTACACCACGGCTCATCTTCATAAACTTGTGGCATGCACAGGTGTTCGTTCATCGTGTGGCTTATTACATGGATGCATGGTTGGCTAAAACAATACACACACACCAGGTAATGTAGTGAATACCTTGAATACTCGTGGGAGGTTTATGTCATTATACACAAACATGTAAGAGAGGTGATTCTGATGATTTTGTGACGTTATGTACCTCTAGCACAAAGAGTCTCGAGCTGCCTCCAAACCGGACCATCTGACCGACGCGCACTCTGTAGTACACCCTGGGCTGGAGCTTGCTCTTGTTCAGGAAACTCCCGTGGGTGCTGCCGAGGTCGTACACATAGTACCCCGCCTCGTTGGGGGTGCCAAATGACAGGGGTCTCCCCTCTCCACCCTCGTCCTGGTCTCCTACGGTGGTGGCACCGGTGGGTCTGTACTGGAGGACGGCATGGTAGCGCGATATGGACGGATGTTCCAGTGGTACATCACAGACTGGGAGTCGACCAAACACCTGTGTTAGTATATAGACGACAAAATATGGGACACTAATGAGAGTGGCACCCTAAATAAGGGCTATGCATATTGCAGAAGGAATGAAGACAGGTGCATGCAGTTTACGTCGGAACATTAGTTCATGCTTCGCCAAAAACGCCTCGTGTTTGTTCTGTGCAAGGACGAGTATAGTGCTACCAGACTTCTCATAGGTAGTATGTAGGTAGTACACGTATTATACATGTGTGCTGTGCATTATTATATGTTGGATATCCCTAGGCAACCGACATGGTGGTGTGAAGCTCTAGGTACACCTCTAAAATCGTGCAAACTCATCCAGGGTTCATAGGAAGGATATTGTTGGGCTATCAAACATATCTGTTGCAGTACATGCTTGCGGGAAAGCCCGCTAATTAATGGGGTGGGCCATAGTATGCGTTTACTCGTGGTCTCCCGCTAGTAGCTCGCGGAGAGTCTGGCACAGACTAACGAAAGTAGTAGAAAGCATGTGGGAGTAAGTTAATAAACTGAGGAAAGCAGGATTTGTTCTGGGTGGGATTTGAACCTTTACATATGTCTGTACACCACTCTGTGGTGGTGGTGAATGTACGTCACATGTACCAGGAAGGGCTTGTGGGAGAGATCAATCTCCTCCAGGAGACTCCCACTCTTGATGACGGTCAGGGAGTAGCGCTGAGAGGGAGGACCGCTCCAGTGTGGCTCCGTGTACGGCAAGTCAGGGGTGGGGGGTGGGGGACCACTAGTGACCACTCTCGTCCCTGTTCCTTTAGGATCCTTCTTCTGGTCCCCGTTTGATGAGCCCACCCCTGTCATTACTCCCTGATTAACATCATCACCAGCATGGTCCCCACTGGAACAATCCTCAGATGTGCCTTGTGTCTCATCCTCGCCCCCCTCTCTTCCTCCCTTCTCCTCACCTGCAACCCCCTCCCCCTCAACCCCACCCTCACCATTTCCCTCAGTAACTGTGTGTTTATCCTCAACAGGTACAGTTCCTCCTGTGGCTGGCTGCTGCTCTACTGTCTCAACAGCCTCCACTACAGGCTTGTCAGCTCCCTCACAAGTACTGCTCCCCTACAATTAGTGGGGTAATGGAGATAAACCTCTCAGGAGTTTGATAAAGCTAACATTTTCACGCGCTTGATGCTTGCAGCTTACCTCTTGGGATTTCACGTTCTGAGAGCTTGCTGCTAAGACTGGTGCCTTCTTATGAGATGGGATAATGGAGGGAGCCTTGAAACTGGCCATTTCTTGGTTGTGATCAGCATGCAACCAGAGTGCAAAGGTTACATTGGCGCATGCGCATAAATGCAGGACACGAGAGAGCCAGGTAGGCGCGTGCGCGTGGCTCGTAACATTACGAGCTCTTACAGCAACAGTTAAGAATCATGGAGAGGCTCGCTGAGCATGACTCCATAAAAAGTCTCCCTTTGCCTAGAGTGGAATCTGCCGAGGTTGTTCACACTGGACCCTACCAGAGCCAGAGATGATTCTCGCAGTAGCAGTAATTCTGTTTTCAGGTAGCTAAAACGATTGAGGCCTGGTAACTCCGGCCATCCGTCTGCTCCTGCTGTGCACCGATTTGGCATTCTTTGCTGTTCTCTCGCTATTCTCGTATTTTATTTGCAGGGGCGAGTTTTGGGGTACTTGTTGCAGCCCAGAGGGACGTGGAGTTCCCTAAAGAGATAGTGGACACTGCTCCCTGCCTTCCTAGCCATGGGAATGCATCTATAACCAGGCTCAACTCATCTGAGTAAGTCAAAGTGGGAGACTTTGGACTGTCCCAGGATATTTACAGCAGGAACTACTACCAGGGAGGGCGGGGGAGAAGGTCCCGGCAAGCTGTCGAGGCTCTGGTGGACGGAATGTAGACTAGTGTGGCAACTCAAAAATTACCTGAAGGTTTTCATTCTGTTTGCCATGACGGAGTTTCTAGCTAAGTTATAAACAAAGAATTTGTTTGTGCTGTCTTTACTCAGACCTTAATAAAGAGAAGCTCCTTTTTTATTGCTTTGGCTCATGTCCCATGCAGGTACTCAGTACTCCAAGCAGAGGACAGGCCGGCCTTCTCTGAAGTAAGGACACAAGTGTAGAGGGTATTCTGGAGAACAAGGCTGGCTACACTGACCTCAACATGAACGCTGCTCTGGAGGCGGGGCTCCAGTCACCTGACTCCACCCACAAGTACCAGGGACTATATAGTGGCCACTCTCCACTCCCTGCAAAACTCACACTATACTGAGCTGAGAGCTGAGGAGTATTCGGATGAAGAACTGACAGAGTCTGGATACATCAATGCATAGCACTAGACTGTATTATAATGTGCACAAGTAAATTCATGTTCAGAATTGATCATGACCATAATTTTGTTGAGTCCAACTCCCGTCAGTAATAATAATTATACAATACTTCTTCTTTTACTTGTCGTTCCAATATGGCAAGAGGGAGCCTTTTGTAATACAACCTCTTGTTCAGCTCTCTCATTCATGGCTTTGGCCGTTGACACATGCTTAGACGGTTGTTCCTCAATTCTTGTAGCTACTATGCCACTACTTTTCCTACAGGGACGTAGACTAGTGGAGTAACACCCACAACTGTGTTTCCATGCAGGGTCCACAGATGTCGAGACTGGTGGTCTTTATCGAACAGAAAGAGTCCTTTCCCACGAGATGATGTTTATGAGCCTGAAACCCAAACAATATTATTATGGACGTGGAAACAAATGTGGTTACGAAAGCAAAAACTCACCCCCTGTCTTGTAAAGTAACCCTACATGTGATTATATAACCATACATTTTCGTTATTTTACGAACAAAACAATATGGAGCACTGAAATGACACCCTTTTAAGTGCTCAGTATTGTTTTGTTCGTAAAATAATGAACATGTGTGGTTAAATTACCTTACAAGACAGGGGGTAAGTTTTTGTTTCGTACAACCAAAACCAGATTTGTTTCCTTGTCCACTAAATTTAACAATGTGGGTTTTATGTGTTATTCTGAAGGAAACTGTGTACACTGTAAGCATTGTTAGTCATGCCTAGGATTTGTGTTTCTTGCCCAAATATGAAACAAACGTGAGGTCTTATTGAAGGAACTCGTATCTATAGCGGATCACTTAGTATTAGCTGCTACTGTAGAGGAACATGCAAGGCACAACTGTGAGTTGCCTTGGCGGTTGTCCATGTAGCTAATTTCATGTTCAAACTTTCTTTCAGGTTGGTGGTGTGTTGATGTCTCTTGCCATCAGTGTATGCTTAGCCTCCCAAGGTATCTGAATCATTCTTGTTGCCAAATTGCCACGTATGTTTGGGATTGCAATAATTAATTAAAAACTAGGCCACGACACAAGCTCTCAAGGGTTAAAAAAATCCATTCTGTGATGCTATGGTCAAGACTTAGTATTGTGGAACTGACATAGTAATAAAGAATGCAAGTGTTTGTGTTATTTCTGTAAGGGCCGAGAACCAGAATTGTTTTGGCCCTTCAATCATGTCTCCTTGTGCGTATGTAAGTGCATGCAGCTCTTGCTGTATCATTGGGTTCTGACTGCTGTGCCTCTCGGCTAAGCAAATGTTGACCTGTAAATACAGAGCTGCTGACACCCAGACCCAACATATTGATCCTAAATATCATGAAACTTTCTTCACAACAGGTTTCCTAGATTCTGTCCCAAGAGGTTCTGCCGGTGTTGTCCCTGATACCTCAGGTCCAAGCGAAACACTTCTTCTTTGCCCAGTATCAATTCAACATCCGTCAACAACACAACATCCCAAACCACGTCCTTCAACAACGAGTCCTCCCACAACGAGTCCTCCCACAACAAGACCTCAAACAACACATCCTCCAACAATGAGACCTCCAACAACACGTCCTCCAACAACGAGACCTCCAATAATGAGACCTCCAACGACACATCCTCCAACAACGAGACCTCCAACAACGAGACCTCCAACAACAAGTCCTCCAACAACGAGACCTCCAACAACGAGACCTCCAACAACACATCCTCCAACAACGAGACCTCCAACAACAAGACCTCCAACAACAAGTCCTCCAACAACGAGACCTCCAACAACAAGACCTCCAACAACGAGACCTCCAACAACACATCCTCCAACAACGAGACCTCCAACAACACGTCCTCCAACAAGAAGTCCTCCAACAACGAGACCTCCAACAACGAGACCTCCAACAACAAGACCTCCAACAAGTCCTCCAACAACGAGACCTCCAACAACAAGACCTCCAACAACGAGGCCTCCAACAACGAGACCTCCAACAACGAGACCTCCAACAACGAGACCTCCAACAACACGTCCTCCAACAACAAGTCCTCCAACAACGAGACCTCCAACAACGAGACCTCCAACAACGAGACCTCCAACAACGAGACCTCCAACAACGAGACCTCCAACAACGAGACCTCCAACAACGAGACCTCCAACAACAAGTCCTCCAACAACAAGTCCTCCAACAACGAGACCTCCAACAACAAGACCTCCAACAACAAGTCCTCCAACAACAAGTCCTCCAACAACGAGACCTCCAACAACGAGACCTCCAACAACAAGTCCTCCAACAACAAGTCCTCCAACAACAAAACCCCCCACAACACGTCCTCCAACAACAAACCCCCCCACAACACGTCATCCAACAACACAACCCCCCACAACAGGTCCTCCAAAACCCCCCATATCACAACCTCCTCGAACCAGGACAACTATCTTGGCTGCCAGTTTTTTCATAACACCAAGTCATGGGCCATATCGGAAAAAACGCTCTACACCACATGGTGAACCTGGTCAAAGATATCCTCATCGTATAGAGAGATCATTTAGTACGGTAGAAAAACCTGGTCCCTCCAGTTTTCCATGCAAAAGTGCAGAGAGTTCTACTACAGTAACTCCCACTACTCATCCTACAAAGTATCCTTCCTCTACTAACACTTCTTCAGAAACTTATCCTCTTGGGACAGATCACCATGACTTTGCTACTCACAACCTCTGTCCAGGTTTGCATGGATGCGACCTAATTGTGCATGGTTGTAGGTTGGTCTTTTATTAAATATGCACAGATTGTGCTGAATGTGAAGCTAAGAGTGAGGGTCTAGTTTGCTATCCAGCCACTCAAGCTCCAGTCAGCGGATCAGTGACCGTCACCACCCAGTGTGCTGCCAATGCGCACACCCTAAACGCCACTAGTCTGAACGTCACGTGTAGCTCTGATGATAGCTGGTCTGGTCAGAGTCCCCATTGTCAATGTGACGAGGGATACTATGAAGTCACTCTTAACGGAACACAAATATGTGAAAGTGAGCATAAGTTCACGGCAGTTGAGCTCATCCTTTTTACTGTAATGCAATCTCTCTTCTATTATATCCCCAGGTGTAAATTTGATGACTGAACATGAGCCAATCAACATATCCATTGCGATTTATACATCGTTAATATTTCCGCTCGTCCTGTGTGTCACTGCTACTGCCGCTGTTGTATTCATTCTGTGCCGAAGGAAGCTCAGAAAGAAAAAGTCGGAAGATGTGGAGGGTAACAATGAAAGTGCTCTCTATGAAACATGCAGAGTAGAGAGGCCGAAACTGGTCCAACGTGGCAAACATATAAAACCGGATGTTCCGGTGGTGCCCAACAAGGCTTATGCCTCCTTCAATACATCAAGAAAGGTTCCCGTGTATCCCAAATGAAGCATATGCAACGGTGAATCAAAAAGCTATGGTACCCAAAAGTGAGAAGAAAGTTGTGGTACCCAGCAATGTTTCCAAAATGTCAGGCCGTGTTTACGTTCCTGTATATCCAAATGAGGCATATGCAATGATTAGTGTTGAAAAACCTAAAGTTATGCTACCCAATGGTGGGTACAGTATGCCCAACATTACGTCAGGCCTCATGAAAATTCCCGTATTTCCAAATGGGGCATATGGAGTGTGCAAATGAGTTACAAATGAAGTATATACCACCATATTCAAACTGGTGCTGTGAACTTATAAATAAAATTGTTGATAGAACTTTTAGTCAGTGCGCATAATGATTAGCAGCTAACTAATGAGTAGATAGAAAGTCATTATTTTTCATCCTACTAACATCTTTTGTTTTGAAGCACGAGGCATGTTGCAATGTACAGGATCGCAGGCCCTTACAAGATCAAGAAGGAAAGAGATACATACTTCCTCCTATAATCACAATCTTGCTTGCCTCGATCGACTCGAAAGAATTGCTGCTCTTTGAAATCACTTGTACGGGACATTACTTATACTTTAACCCACCAACCACAACACAGGCATTCCTTTCTCCCTTCTCTCCTCATTCAACCCACTGAATGTAAAGCCCATGTGAAAAACCTGTTCATCAAAAGCAGCTCTCCAATCTCCCTCTGATAGCCACTGAGTGGCTGAAACTATGGAATGCTCTCTTTCCTTTGAAACAACACTGTTAACCTAACTGTGCTTACCATATTTAGCTACTGCAAGTCCCTCAATACGCTTTACCTGAATGTACACTATTACAGAAGCAACCTAGCTACATTTCCATGATACAGTCTTGGTCAAGGAGCTTTCACTTTTGCGCATGCGCGAAGCGGAAAAGTTTGTCGTGTGCAGTGTGGAGAGCTAGAGATCGAGATGCCCCTCTCAGTAGCGAGAGAGCTGGACTGCGAATGGGTTGTGGGAAGGTGCAAGTCCTACTTGGAGCGTGGGGACAAGCACGGCGCCAAGGCCTGGATCCTCACGGCCCGATCTCTTTTCCCCGGGGACTTCTCCGTTCAGGTGGTGCACGTGAATTGGAGTGTTCTATCGACGTACACCGGAGAGTATTCGTGATAGTGTCTTCTCCTCTTCCTATCTAGTATGAAGCCTTCTGCCTCCACATGTCATGCGAGGAGCTCAAGGAAGCAGCAATGGCTCTAACTGACCTGTATGTCCACACACTGCCATAAACCAATAATACAGCACACATCCATTATAGATGAGATATACATCAGTGGCCAATTAACATAAGTTTAACAGCCTAAGTGTAAACATTGTCGCTATTAACTGTTTTGATTGTAGGTAATTTCCTAAGTCATTATCATCTCGAGTGGATTTATGCTAGTGATTTCTATGCTAACTCAAAAAGTAGATTTTAATTCTCGACCCCCTGTGGCAGTTTCAACGTGTTCCCTCGCGAGGCACAGCTCCAGTCTTGTCTGACTGGACTGGTGGAGGCTCTCCTGACTCCGCCCACCACTGACGACCCTCAAGAAAAGGTCACCGCTCAGAAGAAACGTGAGAACCATCATCCATTAGAACCTCATACAGTGGAACCCTCAATAATAAGCACCGTGTCAAAGATTTTCTAAGCACTGTAACCCTTATTCCACTATATAGTCCGTCATTTTTCCACACCAGAGATCTTATAAGCCTGTGTCCATACACTCTACATTGTGTTTATAGTGCAGTGTGTGACCTGCCACCAAAATTATATTAACAAAACATAACGCTTTCTGTGGTATGCACTGCAGCGACGTTCCGATTATGCTGTGTTAAATGTTAGTGTGACTCCATTTACTGTCCTGTCTTCATACATAGTGCTCTTCAATCAGCTTCCTGCTAATGTCCAGAAGAGTGTTTTGCTCCATGCTGCAGGTAAACGTGATGCTGCTGGCATTCTCAATTCAGAGTCTTCTTTAACGTAGCCTACAAAATGTGTCCTTTCTCCATTCTCCTCTAATAATAGTGTTAGGCTGAGAGAAAAGAGGGAGTGAGTTTAGAAGAAATGGGTGTTGGTAGATTCAATTTCAGTTGTGTTTTATTGTCTTGTAGAGAGAGGATAAAGTAGACATGTGGTGGGAGGATAAGTTTCATTGATGGAAAATAATGCAAGCAAGTCACAGACCACAAACGCTCTTGTACACAAGTGGCCAGGGGCTCTTAGCAGATTCATTTCTAAGTAACCACACCCACGATTCAGATGGCTTGCTTCGCTCGCCAACAATCTGTGATATACTAGACGTGAGAACTGTTGTATGTATGTATCTCGTGCCTGCAGCGGACGAGAACGGTGGTGTGTTGAGGCAGTGTAAGGTGTGGTTGGTCATCATCAAACTATTCCCTGACATGGTCAAGACACTCGGAGTGAGTCAAACCATTATTAGCTGGTGCATGTTATACTGTGAGTCGACCCAACCAATTGTGAAACCAATTGATTGTGTACTGTTTGGAGCATACACTCTCAGACTCTTATTAGGTCACAGAATATAGCGTGGGATTCCGGAGTTATATAATGCAGCCTTGAAAGTATGACTGTATGTAACCTTGCATTATGCACCCATAATGTAGTAACTGGCATATATTCTCCCCTGTACACTCCAGTTGGATGCCTATGACCTCTTGAGCAAGGAGCAGTCCACAGCAGTGATGGCTGACAATCAATCCAGAGAACTACTAGGTACTAATGCTCGACATGGAGGTAGTCAGTCTGAAGGACCATTTTTTTAGAACAAATGCTCAAAGAAAGAGAATTAATACTATATGCTAAGTGTCTTGACTCTTAGAGGGTTCGGTTGAGTGGTGCTTTCCTGTTATGACATTTACATGCAGCACCTTAGAACACACCGCATACAAGTGGTTTGTTCTGCTTTAATCTGGCATTATAAAAGTTCCAAACAGGACTCTGATATCAAGGACAGTAGAGCACTGGGTATGCTGCAGGGAAACCACATTATGTCCTAGTGTCCAACCTCTCGGTCCATACAAGTCGGGGCAGAGCGCCTCACACAGCTGCTAGCTGTGAACATACTGTACTGGTCTCCAGCTGTGCTAGTCTAGTTGTCCCTCTCTAATTGGACCTGTTTGTGTATATCCACAGTGTGTGAAGTGATTCCTCTACTGCTGGCATCTCCTGAGATACGGCTGGAGTTACCCGTGGTCCGGAGCTCCGGCCAGAGCACGACCCTCAAGACCAGCCACCTCTGCCAGTGGCTGGAGAGTGTCGCCTCTTTCTACACCACCGTCACCTCTCAGGCCCTGCTCGGTGGCAGAGGTGAGCGTGGATCAATAGTCACCTGTGTGTCTATTCTGGATACACATGACTGCAGGCCACAAGTGTGCAGGTAAGGTAGGATGGGACCAGCTACACCAGTTGCTCATGAGGACAGCAGAAAAGTGTGGATGGAGAGAGGTCATTCTCAGCAACCAGATAGGACCTCATCTGTGAGTGTACGTACATGTCTATACAGCAGGTCTTAATTTGGCATTAGCTGTGTGAACTGGTTTCATGAAGGTGGTCCTCATCTACAGTAAACTGCAACAGCTATGAATTATAATTATACAGTGTATATACAGGGAAATGCCCTAACTCTGCACTTTGTGGCACAGAAACTTAATAAGTAAGGGGACCAGGCTATGACAGTACGATAGCCTATGCTGTAGAAATATGAGCTGTCGTTGTTACTGAAGCAAGCCATCTTTGTGGGAATCTCTAGAGCAGCATTGAGGAAGTAGTCTGTTCAGATGGTACTTCCTAGGTCACTGGGAATAATGTCCATGTATAATTATACAGTGTATTACAGGGAAATGCCCTAACTCTGCACTTTGTGGCGCAGAAACTTAATAAGTAGTAGGGGACCAGGCTATGACAGCAAGATACCCTATGCTGCAGAAATATGAGCTGTCGTTGTTACTGAAAACAAGCCATCTTTGTGGGAATCTCTAGAGCGGTCACTGGGAATAATGTCCATGTTTTGCTTCCAATCTCTGGGGTTGTGTGTGTGGAAGAGGATGTACGTTCAAATAGGAATGTTAGTTTCGGTGTGTGTCTCATTTCACCTGAGCAGTGGGAGGCTGACTTCCGAGACAGGTCAGTGCCTGGTGCAACTTCCATTGGCTTCCGCATAACTTTCAAGCTACAGCTCTTATCACAGTTACCTTCGTGTTTCGAACTCCAGAGCACATTGTACTATAAGGTAGTTAGTTAAACCCAAACCACCGTAATGAAGCGACCATTTAAAGCTCACTAGTATAATAATTTATGCTCATGGGTGTGCTTTGTTTGAGATTTTCCTTGGTTTTTGTTGTGTTGATTGCCTTTGATTCGCCTTTACCTCGCATGCAGATTTTGCCCAAGGGAATGTTGCAGTAACATGCTAAATTTAGAATTAGCCAGTTGTCCTTCAACACTGTTTATATATTTATCACTCTCACATTTCTGATGTACTCTCTTCATTGTAATCTGTGTTGTAAAGCAGAATAATAATAATAAATAATACATAATTAATGTATTTACTGTCATGCTACGTGTTACTAAACGCCATACTGCCTACTGCAACAAGTGTTTTCATGGCTCCCCTCTCCTTCATCTCCTCTTGACCATACCTGCTTTTTAGTGCTACAGACTTACGCTCTCCTCTTTCTACTAGCATAGAACTCATAGTTTCGGTGAATGGCCATGGTATGTACGTATGTATGTATATATGTATGTGAAAACTACGAGGTAGAAAGGCAAAGGCACAACAAGCAAATCGACTGCACCCAGGACAGCTGCTCTTTTGAAGAGCTGCCCTAGGTGGGATTCCAACCCACGGCACTCTGCAGTCTAGATGAGCACTCTACCAACTGAGCTACCAGGGCAACTCAGCTGGTAGGGGTTTAAATCTATAACACTATACAACACATGTCCACTGTTGACTAGCGTGTGGAGACTGTGTGTGGAGACTGTGTGTCATATATTTCTCTGGCAGTGGTATATAATGGTCCACTGCAACAAACATGTGACATAACCTTGTGCGTGACGCGGTGCAGAGCTGTCTAGTAGCCAGTCCCTATCACAGCAATGCAGGAGCCAGTCTCTGAGCTACACTGTGCTAGGAACAGAGGCCATGTCACCATACGCAATCTTCCCTAGTGGGATGTGTAAAGAATTCCAAATACTGCATCCATTGGCTGCCCTCTGTACACACTGCTTCTCATACTGCAGTCCCTTTGAAGGTTGATATGGCAAGTACAGGTATTACGAGCACACAAATGCAATGCATGCTGACTCACAGAGTAACTATTATGGACAAGTGAAACCCACCGCTAATGCACTATACCAGGCTCTTCGTGACTCTTTGTCGTCTTGAGTACCACAATTGGAATCTTCTCGTCATACTTGAAATTCCTGTCTATCTCGTCTATATGTCTGTCTGCCCAATCTTTCTCTCTTTCACACACACACACACATGCTCATTAAAACGTGCACACACACACATATCTGTGTAGACCATCAAGAGTTCGGTGGCTTGGTGTGGAAAAGCTCTCTGGTTATAATCCACACGTGAAGCCGTTTGAGGCGCCTCGACCAGTGGCCATTGCCTGCTTCTACATAGCTGTGTTCCTGTTCTTTGAGATGGCGTGGGACTACTGCAGAGAGATGCTGGCTCCTGCCTTTGGTACTAGTGTGCATGCTACCTATATACCTACATTGAGTGTACATAATACTACCTACCTACATTGAGTGTACATAATACTACCTACCTACATTGAGTGTACATAATACTACCTACCTACATTGAGTGTACATAATACTACCTACCTACTACATTGAGTGTACATAATACTACCTACCTACATTGAGTGTACATAATACTACCTACCTACATTGAGTGTACATAATACTACCTACCTACATTGAGTGTACATAATACTACCTACCTACATTGAGTGTACATAATACTACCTACCTACATTGAGTGTACATAATACTACCTACCTACCTACCTACATTGAGTGTACATAATACTACCTACCTACTACATTGAGTACTAGTGTACATAATACTACCTGCCGCAGACAGTGGGTTTAAGTAGGAGAGGGAGAGAGGTATATGAGAATAGGAGAAGAGGGGTGGAGAGAGAGGGAGTAGGGTGAAAGGAAAGAGGAGAGAGATAGAATTGGCAAAACGTAAGATGGCGTGTGTAAGGTGTGTGTATGGTTGTTGTTGACATCACTGTCTTTGTTGCAGGAGGGAGCAGTGTGCCTGTGGCTGGCAGAGCGCCCTGGCTGGTGGTTGAGGAGTACCAACATCATCCCACCTCTCTGGACGACAAGTGGGCCACAATCAGCCATTGTTTTATACATCTTCCAACTCAATTGTACGTCACTCTGCTGTGTGTCTGTAGGACCAGCAAGAGGAGAAAGGCAGACGATTCCAGACCGTCTCTGAACTTCAACACTGGTACATAACTTTGACTAATAAGTATGTACTTATTAACTGGATCAACAAAGTCTTGGTGGTATGTCTATGTGTTAGGGTCACGTAGTGTGGATCAGAAGATGGTGGAGAGGTTCATGGTGGCCACTGATTGCTGGGATTTCCTCCAGTCCAATGTCACCTACCAGCAGGGTTGGCTCCTCTCAATACATGTTATCATGGGGTGTACTGAATGCATCACACATTAAACCAGGGCTAAGCCAGAGGTCACCAGGGGGACATTCCCTCTATAACTATCTTCATTTGTCCCCCTGAATATTATGCTTTGTATGTGACTCTTTTACCCCCAGTGCTTTTATTGGGACCATCTACATTTGTTGCTAAGGGGCAGATTGTCCCCCAGCCATAAATCTCTGGAGCTAGTTCTGTTAAACACCTCCTTAGTTTGTTAGTGCTGCTATATGTTCTGTATTGTGTGTACGTGATTTGTTACAGTGTGTACATACGTAGCTGTGTATTATAGTGTTTCCTTGCACTAGTTATATATAGCTTCACCAGAGTCTCAGGTTTACACAGAAGAACTGCAATATCAGCAGTGACTGAATGTGGTGACAGTGGCGCCTGGTAGTGCCACATCCACCAATTAGCGACTGCATGGCTGGCATAGCTGGATATCTCTCTGTAGCTACGTCTGCCTGCCTGTCTCCATGAAATGGGATTTTTCTAGACGACTTAGCCTTGGGACCTACGTAGGTGCTCGGATCGTGTTGATTGGATGGTTTCTTTGGAGGGTTACTAATGTGAAGTCTGTGTTTTGTCACAGTATATTGAAAGACGTGTGGGAAAATCAACGTCACATTATGTATGCACGTAATTGGGCAGCTTAGTTTATCCAACCAAGGCGGTTTACCTGCGTGATGAAGTATGTTATTCATGTGCTAGCCTGTTTTTAATCTGATGAGTACTGCAAATAAGATACATGTACATGTGCAATGTCCACACAGTCATAAGAGGGTCTCCCCCCCCTAATAGAGTTCATGCGGCTGGGTCAACAGTGGGGGGCACTAGAGTGGTCTTGGCTGGGCATGTTTCGAGCAGACATGGCAGTGTTCAAGGTATGGGCTAGTATGTGTATGTATGTAGGCCACCGAGTTGTACAATAAGACTGATTTGTTCATTTCCGATCATTTGTTTGTCTGTTTGTTGGTACAATACACCTTTTGTTTATATTCTAGTTTTATTACCTTAGTTAGCACACAGTATGTATGTACATATGCAGGACTTGCCTTCACTTTAATGCGCTGACCTTGTGTTTTGCAGTGTGACCACACTCTGGCCATGCAGATCCTGACACACGAATGGCATAAAGTATCTGAAGACGAAAAGACATCGGTACTCTCCTTATACCATGAGTTCTCTCGCATTAGCTAAGCAAAAACTTAAAACAAGCTGTTATGTACGATATCTGTGCCTCCCTGCAGCCAATGGCAACAAGGATTATCATGCAGATGGTGAACTGTGCCATGGTACTGGGAGACAGCCGGGTGAGTGTGATCAGCAGGGAATGCGGTGTGTGTGTGTGCATATAGTCGGAGGTGCTTGCAAGCTTGCAAACTAGTGCTCATATTCACATTCCTGGGTGTCTGTGCAGTAACCGTGCTGCATAGTTTTTGGCTTCCAGGAATGCAAACGAGAATGCAGCAAGTGGTTTCTATTAGATGTTTGTGCTTTCCGGCTCATGTGACGCACCTTCATCTTCTAGTGTGTGGTAAAATGAGACATTTTGAAGCATGTGCTTTACAAAAGTATCATGATATCAGCTGCGCTTAGCTTCAAGTTTTTGTATGTATGCAGTGCGCAGGTTAAGTTACACCTCTTAGGGAAGATTAGATATCCATTTGGTGTGATGTTTTGGACGCACATCACCGTCTGAAAATATATTTAGGATGCAGACGAATGTATGTGTGTGTGGGAAATATGCAATGATAGCTATAACCCAGAGCTTATTATCCTCTGTTGCCAGGGGCTAGAGGTAGTGACAACGTTATAGATAGAAAATCGATCGCAGACGGCCGTTCTGAAAAAGATTTTTTTAATCAGACGGAACTTGCCGTCAGATTTCACAACAACAAAGGCAAATTACGGTATGTTACTGCCTTGTGTATATGAAATCGATATCTGTCACTGCATCTTGCTTGTTGTCTAATTGCTTCGAACAAATGGGCCATTCCGCTTTTCCATTACGGACTGAGGACAAGATAATTACATTCCCCGAGCTTTTTTGTGTACGCTATAGTATATACAATGACGTGGATATGAGATTTCTAAATGTACGTAATGTTTTTCCCGAATTGTGTTGTGTAGGGGGCTTGCAGTTTTGCGTCTGAGGTTGTGAGTCTCCTGCCCAGTTCACAGGTCCTGCCGGGGGTCACTTCTCCTCGCACTCTTCCTCCACAACACACCTCTGGCAAGTTGACATGTCAGTAGGAACACACTGGCACAACTATCAATTAGAAAATTCCTTGTTAACCCTCGGTGCACATGCACATTGAGGGTTACAGTACTTGGTCTGTGTGTCTGTTACCATGTTTTTTGCCACCACGCGCAACAAATCGGCCAAAAACTGACACCAATGGGTTCAGCGCCACACTGGCTTGATTATAAATTTGGCGATTTTTGTAATAGCACTTTGTTCCACAGTTATGGTGTGAAAACCAAGTCAACAAGCCAATATGCTAATTAGCACAGGCATACCTCGACCGGGTCCGTTCGCTCTGTGTATCTCGAAGGCGCAAGAAGGCGTGTATCAACTCCCACATGCTATCTACTACTGTAGCTAGCCCATGTCAGACTCTCCGTGAGCTACTAGCGGGAGACCACGAGTAAACGCATACTAATATCCCAGCCCATACAAACCAACCAGCCCATTTTGAAACTGAGGCTCTTACACCAGTGACCACCACGAAATATCCCAGCCCATCAATTAGCAGTACCGCACATGTGCAGTTCACCAAGGGTTTGCACTTTAGTGCTTTTTATGTTCGTACGGAATTCCTTTTCTTTTGAATCTCATGTGGTGATCGCTGCAACGAACGGAGCCTATAGTTTGTAGTAGTCAATATCTACTGCATAAGCTTTAGTTCAGAATTAATTTGTGTGCAGGTCGACAGCTGCGCCTGCTGTGCTGCACACCAGACGAGATCATGCCATTCTGTATGGAGGTAATCATCAGGACGCTGAAGGACGTGGCGTTTGGTGACCCTAAGAACGAGCGAGCCCTGGGCCAGCTACTCGTCCTCCTCCAGTACCAGTGGCCCAAGGAGGAGGAGATTTTTGCCAGCCTCATCACCACCATCCAGAAGAGACGGCGCTTCCACTTCCCAGAGTTTTTTGACTATATCATTCGTATCCTTTTAAATCCTGTAATGTTACATAAGTACGTGTGAAATTGGCGAAAAATCGAATATCTCACTGATTATGCATGTTAGTATGTTAGCAAGAGTACGTGATGTATAATTATTCATGGTACAAATTACATTGCATTAGGTTGTATGCAAGGCTCTTAATGTTGACATTAGTACGTGTGAAATTGGCGAAGTTGGAGATCTTGACCAGAGCTGCAGTCATTGATATTCTGGAGGAAATGTTATACCTGGCAAACTGTGATTCTCTCCAGATTACTCTCCTTCCACAGACAGACGCCAACAAGTGAGTAAACTCTAATGATTGTCTGTTACACACGTGCCTTGATACATGTGTCTGTACAACTCTTGGCTAGAGCTGGAATTATTGTTGTAACACAAGCATTTTAATAAATACTCATGATTTTTGCTGGATGCAGATGTACATGTATGTATATACTTGCTTTTATGAATGGAGCGAGTAGTTTTTAGTATTTAATATCAACTGTATAATTGGCGAATGGGGAATTTTTATCTATTCCGCTTACGCTGTCACCACATAGCCTGTTTCTTGATACTCGTTCCTTCCCCCTCTACTGAGTGGTACTGCAGAGCTAGCTACCCGCATACGGAAACTGGTCTGTGGGCCAGAAACTAAGTACTGCGGTATATATACTGTGTGCTTACAGTCAAGGTGTATATATGTGTGGTAATGCTGCTGGGGTCTGTGCAGGGGACGGACTGTTACTCGAGGTGTAAACAGAGGGGCAAGGGAGGAGCTGATGCTAGCAATGGAGCAACAGATCAAGCGTTGTGAAGAGCCTGTTGAACCTCTCCTCAGGCATTTCTTCAAGCAAGAGAAACTCTCACTCGGTGGCAAGCACGCCACAACATAGGACAACTGTGTCATACGTGTGTGTGTTCATGTACAGTGTTGGTTTATATGTTTAAATGGGACTTTGCGATTTGAGTAGTTAATATTGTAAAAAAATTGCTCGATTTTAGGGGAGTCTGCTCAGCATTGCATGATGCTAAGTGGGACTGTGTTAAGTAACTGAGAGTTAATTTCTACCACATGGGACACGATAATGAAAAAGGTTTTGCTCTTTGGCATTCTTCTGTAGCCTACAACTGCACTACACACAACGTGTTCTAATAACTCACCCACTCTCTAGTAACCATAATATGCATCTCAACTGCTAGTTTACAGAGGAATGTAGTTAGTTAGTAGTAGTAGTACTAACTAGTTCGCTGCGCTAACTAACTGTGCCAGGCACTGAGTGGTGGAGCCATGTCTCCCAAGACCAGAGGCATAAAACTGTGCCTCCAGAGTCTAGTGTGTCATTTTTGCAGCAGTGCTAGCCCTGCTGTAGATCCTGCAGCCACTGTTTCTCCCGTGTGACTGTCGAAGAGGAAGAAAAAAAGTTCTCGTAGAGATATTTTGGAGAAGAGAGGTGTAGCAGGGAGTGAGTGTGGTGGAGATGCAGACAGCGGTGCTTACGCTGTGTGCTCTGGTGCTGGGACTGCTCTTCCATGTAGCTCATGCACAGCCAAGTATGCTTCAAACCTTTCTCTTTTTTAACATACACATGTACCTGGAATGATCATTAACATCTAGCAACTATTTTCGACTGACCCTACGCATTTTTCTTTCGCAGCTGTTGCCTTTACAAGTGCCTCTGAGGATATTTCAGTTGTTGAAGATGGAGGCTCAGCAATGTTCTGTGTGGCAATAGTAGACGACGACAATGGTGGAGGTGGAACGGCAGCTGATATAACTGTGAACCTGGATTTTCCTGCAGTTGGTGGTACCAATCCAACTGGTACGTGTCGTTGTCAGCGGCCAACGTTAATTATGGCATGAATTCTACAGTAAATTGTTTTCTGACATTACGCCATTAGTAAGAAGAGCATGCGTAATAACAGTGCAAACTTTGTGTGTATACATGAAGCGTAATTAGCCTATTTGTGCCAGTCATTCATACTTTTCACAAAGGCTGTGTGATACAGATGGTGATTTTTCACTCCCAACAGAACCTGGTGATATAATGTTTTCGGCTATATCGGTTATGTTTCCTGCGGGCAGTACCACAGGAAGTGAAATGATGGTCACTGTTACCGGAATAACAGACACAATTGCAGAGGGATTGGAAGTCCGCTCTGTTACTATAGCACCATCACCAGGAAACTATATAGTTAATGCTCCAGGTGGCTTCACTTCAACTGTTACCATTGAGGTGGTCGATAACGATGGTGAGTTGAACATCAGACCCGTAAATCTTTTAGTAAAGGAGACTGTTTGTTTCTGCGGGAATGGGGGACACTAATGTTACAGTTATCCCCAAGGCTTTTCCCTCAATAATTATTCGGAAATTGTACCTTTTATAGTTCACACCCACACTGTAAGCCCTTTTTGATCACAGCAAATAATGCACAAAGGCCTAGGCCTTCGTCAAAGTGAGTTTTGTGTGCACAAATAGCTCTTTGACGGATGGTGGCTATTTTAATTACCAGCTTAGTCTGCATCGTTCGTAGCTCCACGGCTTATCCCCAGAATAGTTACGTATTTGTTTTCCTACACTTAGCAACATAATCTTACAGGCTATGTAGTAGTTGATGACTGAGGCACAGTAAATTAGGAGGGCGAAGCCCTGGGGCCATGCTATTCTGAGCACTGCGAGGATGCTACCCCAGGGCCCAAGGATTCCTAACTTGCGTTATTTACTAGCATGCTTTTAAACGTTATGTGTCTCGCAGAACATTGCTGAAGTTAAAATATCGATGTTGGCTATTTAGTTTTTTGCACAACTGTTACTGACTAAATTTAGGCACCCCTCTGATAATATTGTTTTTACTTGGTTATTCATATAGTGGTGGTTCTGATATTTGATACTGGGACTTCGTCTTCTACGGCAACGGAAAATGCTCCAGCAGTTTTCAACCTGTGTGTTACTTCTGGGGCCGGAACTACTGCTACTGAACTTGAAGCAACAGTTGAAGTTACCTTGGCATTCAGTGGAAAAGGAGGTGCAGTTTTAGTCATAACTGTAATTAGTAATTAGTTATAGTTTAATTATTATATACTCTCCTCTTCCCTCCTTCGTACCATTAGAGGCTGCTGACATCAGTGATTTGACACCATTACAATTAATGCCGGTCCGACACTCTCGGGCTGTGATGCAGTTAATGTCGTGAATGATGACTTGTTGGAACCTGACGAGGACATGACATTCACCCTCAGTAGTGTCATGGCTGTTCCTGTTGCTGGCGTCATAGCAAACCCCTCCATATCGTTTGGTTCCCCGGACACTCAACTAGTGATAATCTCTGATGCCGACGGTCAGTATAATACCACTACTTTGTCTCTGTAAACCTCACTGGATATTGTGGTCTCAGTATGGGGATCATGGGAGAGATCTCTTATGATCATATAAAATGTGGAAGCATGATATTATGTTTTACGACTAATAATCCCCATATTACACTTGCGTGGTGCTGTAACTTATACTTATGTTTCTCAAAGTACAAACTACGTACGTATCTTGTGACTGCTGGTGCTCTGTAAAAGCTCCGTCCATAGACATTGGAACAGATAGTCCAGAGGCTTATTCCATACGTTTTTTCCAAACAGGAGACAGCGGGGCAGGATCGGCTGCACTTGTATTTTTCGACGCCTCCATGACAGTATCTGAAACAGTTGCTACCCCAGTCATGCTGTGTGTACAACTGAACCTCAGCCCCGGGCACAATTAGTCTGGGATGTGATATGACTGTTACCCTGGGTGTTTCAGATGGAACAGCAGGTACGTATATATGCCACTCTTGATGATGGCAAATGTGTCATATGTATGTGTGCTACTAGTGAAGTGATGTGCATCAACTAGAATGAGCGAAATGTGGTTTTTGTGAGTGATTGGACTTTGCATGCAGTATGCGACCAGCACCCTCCATAGAAACCCAAAGTGTAAAAGGAGGATGGATGGGAAGATGACTGGTTGGGCTAAAACTCTAACCAGTCTTCTGACAGATCAAGAGGTGTCTGCTGGGGTTGGCTAGGGTGTTTTCCTATTCATGGTATAGTGTGTCCTAAGTGTAAAATAGCTCAGACTGTGGTAAAAGATGATGATGTGTTTCTTGTTTCTTTCAATGTTGACTGAGCAACACATGGACATTAACCTTCGTTGGCAAGGGCATCCGTTGTCTATTATGCCACTTGTTGGCAAGTGTAGTGTGTATCTTTGTATTTGCATTATGTGTGCTCGACATTATTATTATTGCACTTCTGAAATAAACTTTCCTTTCCTCTCAGTTAATGGTCAGGATTTTACATCTCCTGCTATGCCAACTGTCGTGTTTAACACTGGAGCAGACGATGGAGATACAGTGTGCACCAGTATTACGATCATTGACGATGACGACTTTGAGGGCGATCATTCTTTTACAGCCGACATAGACGCGATTACCCCAAGCACCATTGACATTATGCTCTCTACTACTGCTGCAGAGATTGTGATTGAAGATGATGAAGGTGAGATTAATTTTTGTGATGCACAAAATATTTATTCCATTACTGGGCGAGTGAAACGACCCCACCTGTATAGGTTTCTTCAGCTCGAATATTATGTGCATACAATCCACTGTATGTCGTCGTCCTAGTGACCATGCGCTAAGATTGTTTGCAATTAATTATACGGTGTGGCTAGGACACGACTCTACTTAGTCTCTTTGACTTCACCCAAGCCCTCGACAATTGTCACAACTTGTACATGCAATTGCTATCACCATTGGAATCCTCGCAACTTTCCCATTCTGATGGTATTTCTCACTAACCTTGAAACCTATCGGTCAAAAGTAAACTCTGTCCTGTATATAAGGAAAGTATGCTATAGGTAAAAATATGTGGTGCCTGTATAAGCAGTTTACACAACCACTTCCCGGGCTTCTGGTGAATGTGAATAGACTTTTGTTTGCTAGCAGCTGTAGCTTTTCTTTCTCTCTAGCTAGGCAGTAGGGCCATCACTTGAGCAGTCACTCGTGTCATTGTCAAGCCATTTAGAGTCATCCAGTGCAATCTTCAGGAGACGTGCCAGACAACAATGTAGCTAACGACTCCTCGCAGACATAGCCTCGCTCTATGTAACTCGTTCGCCCAAATAATTTCCACTATAGTACGTAATACGTGGCTCACTATTTTTGTCATAGTGTACATAATTCGTGTACAAAGTCCCTCGTTTGCTCTCTGAGCTTTCATCTCCCTATAGAGCCATTACTTGAACGTTCTTAACGCACTTTCGAGTAATATGGTCATACTATTCCCTGTGTAAGGATTGCAACGGGACTTCTCTCGCTCGTGACATATGCTCAGAGATGGATACCTGTAGCCTTCCTTTCTCTGTATCAATACACCCATCTTCCGAACACTTTAGCGTCATTGGGGAGACAGTCAGTCACCCCTGTGATATATATCTGTGGGTGTGGCAGTTTAGCTACGTAGCTAGAGATAAAATCCACTGCAGGTAAGGTGCTTACTCCGCTTTCCCGAAGCATTTATTGATCTTGTTAGCCCCATTGGTGTTGAGAGAACATAGCGCATGTGACTAAGAGATGTATTTTGCACTGTTTGCCCCCAGATGCTACTGTGACACTGAACCAGGCTGCATACACTGGAACTGAAGGAGACACCACATTTGGTGATGTCTGCGTGCAAGTACTTCTTACTGGAGCTATTCAGGCCAACTTGATTGTCACACTTGCTACTACAACTGGGTCTGCAGGTTAGTTATGATTGCAGGATATTTCAAGAAACCATCATTACTTCTCTGCTCTTGATATGTTTAGTTGGTGCTGACTTCACTCTGACTACATCAACTGTCATGTTTACCTCTGGTAATACTGGTGGAGACACTTTGTGCTTTGCAATCAGTCTCTCTGAGGACCTCATACTGGAAAATGACGAATTGTTTACTGTGAGCATTTCTGACTTTGGAGGAGCCGGCCAGGGAGCCATTACATCAGCACCTGTTACTATTGACGACAATGATGGTTCGTTACTATGCTTTGAAACAACACATTACGGGGAACAACAAATTAACCACTTATCACACCAGGAGTAACAAATAACCAGTTAGCTGTGCAACCCCCCTCATGTTACTGTATAACTTGCGCCTTGCAGAGGGATAACATTGATTAAGCTCTGTATAGTAAAGATAAGATCTATAACGACATACCTCACTAACAGCAGTACAAAAGAAGACTTACACTCCTTGGGAAAAACTGATCAGTTGCCAGTAGCCTTGCTCATTTCTGTATACTACAGCCATGCACATTTTTGAGACAAAAAGGGATAGCTGCTGTTTCTGCATGCACCAGCTCCTTATGAACTAACACTTCTGCTACATGTGTGATGCCTGTCTTCATGGTTTCTTACTGAATGGATAATCACAAACACTATTGCTTGGCATATTGTGGGATCTAGCACAACCATGCTCTTTACATTTTCTGTGTGAATACTCACTTGTTTTTGTATAGTTCACATAGCACAAGTATTTGTATAATTTCTTTTCAACAGCGGGAGAGGTTTGCAGTTAAGCTGCTCACTCTCAGTATTGCTGAGGGGAATATGAATGATTTCTGCATTGACTGATTGGCACAACTGGCTCTCCAAATATGCTGGCCAGTGACCTGACAGTTACCTTTTCAATTACCAACGACAATGCAGGTATTGTGGCTGGATACTGAGCTAGCCCTAGTTTCCTGGTGTATGATTTACAAGTAGGGATTACATGTAGTAATAGCTACTGTTTATTAACCCTCGGCGCGCATGCGCAGCGAGGGTTACTGTACTTGGTTTGTCCGTCTGTCTGTCTGTCTGTCTGTCTGTTACCACGTCTTCTGCCACCACGCGCAACAAACAGGTAAAATAGCGACACCAACGGGTTCAGCGCTACACAGGCTTGATTTTTTAAATGGCGATTTTCGTAAAAGTGCCGCGTTCAGCGTGAAAACCAAGTGAACAAGCCAATATGCTAATTAGCACTGGCTTACCCCGACCTGATCCGCTTGCTCTGTGTACCTCGGAGGCACAAGAAGCCACAACGAAGGGCGTGTATCGACTCCCGCATGCTATCTACTACTGTAGCTAGCCCGTGTCAGACTCTCCGCGAGCTACTAGCGGGAGATCACGAGTAAATAGGCCCAGCCCATCAATTAGCGGTACCGCGCATGCCCAGTTCGCCGAGGGTTTGCACTTCAGTGCTTTTTCATGTTTTAATGGTAGCTAACGTAATGTGGATATGTACTTGAACACACAGTATGTCAGTTCTTAACAGATCTTTCCCATTGCTGTCAGTTTCTGTAATACTGAGTCTGTATGCATTTGTTTCAAGTGAGTTGGCTAGGGCCTTCCAATTCACGTGCATCTCAATAATGGTATGTGTAGCAACATCTTTCACGGTGTTGTTTTGTTATCTTTTGTAGTGGTTGATGACTATACTCTGACGCCAGCAGCTGCAACATCCATCACAATTTCAGCAGGAGCCATACCCAGTGCAGATTGTGTGACTGTGGATGCAGTTGATGACCTCTTTGTAGAGGGAGCTGAACGCTTTACTTTTACCATTATTTCGGATGATCAAGATGATGTCACCATTTCAGTACCATCATCAACCACTATAGTGACCATTCCAGCTAATGATGGTACATTGTCTGTTATTTTTGGTTGGACTATAAACATGGGGTATGGGCTATTTAACGATCGATGTCATTAGAAGTGGGAACTAACTTCTGAGTAGCTAGCACCTTAGTGTTAAGCTCTTTGTAGAGAGCAGTAGCTCAGTGGAGTTAGCACCTATACTTCTGTGCTTGTGATCTATCACCAACTGGTTCATTCATTGTGAGCCATAGAGAGAGTTGTGTACTTGCTGTTTGCCTCCAATGCAGGTGGAGCTGGAGTGGCCGGGTTTATGTTCTTTGATACCACTCTAACCGTATCTGAATCGGATACTAACCCATTAATGCTGTGTGTAGAACTGGACCTCACGGCAGCAGGTGCCAGTTTGGGATGTGATACAACTATCACTGTCGATATCCTTGATGGAACTAATGCAGGTGAGAGACTTTGGGAAGACTGGAGTACCTTATGATAATCACCTCAGTAGACAGTTCTGTTTTGTTCATTTCCTGTGATTGGCACTTAAATTCTTAAAGATCGTAATACGTGCAGTAGAAATGCAAGCGTAAGTTTTTACATGCCAACCAGTTTGGGTCCTTTATGTTTACGTAGATAAATCTATACATTGGTAGTGTAGCATTCATGATCTGCCAGGATCTATAGTTAGCCAGCGTGCTCGACGTGTTACTCCATTTTGTTGGGAATAAAACACGTGATAGTCAATGACGTCACCATGATTACATAATGGCTAGTAGCTACTATGGAATCGCACAGAGTCTCTAGTCCAGTGATACTGTATACCACAGGTAGATAAGTTGATTGTCACATTCACTGCCTTTGACTCTGTCTCCTCTCTCAGATAATGGTGTTGACTTTGTGGTCAGTGATCCTGCAATGGTCACATTTGACGAGGGAGCAGTCGATGGAGTGACTGAATGCATCAGTATTTCTATTCTTAACGACAATGATTTTGAGAACGACCATTCATTTCAAGCTCAAATTATGGCTGTTTCTCCAGCCGATAAGCCAACAGTTCTCGATAGTACTCTTGCAACTATTCTGATTCAAGATAATGATGGTAAGTGGATTAATTTCTAGATGTTAGTTAATGCATGAACCTTTTAGTTTGGGGAAAGTGTATATCTGAAATTGCACTGCAAAATTGTTTGTGACACTGCGGAGTTCTTGAACAGCACAAAGATCTCTTATTAGCTATCATGCTCAGAGACACTGGATTGCATATTCCCAACAACAATTATTCTGAGACACAGAATGAGGGGAGAAAGGTCGTAGTGATAGGTTCAATGCAGTGTAATGAGTGCCTGCAGTAAACTCGGGAATCTTGAGAGAGCAATGTTCGTGGTCTAATGGTGTGTATGTTGGGTCGGAATGCTCCCACACTGGGCCAGACAACTTTCCAGCGGGTGTTCACTACTTCATTTAGACTTCTGCTACAGAAATATCTGTGTTGACCCTTCTGTCCCCTGCAGATGCTACTGTGTCACTGAATATGGCCACATACACGGGAACTGAAGGAGACACCACATTTGATGATGTCTGTGCAGTAGCAATGCTCTCTGGAGTTGTTGGAAGTTTTGAGGTTGATTTGGTGGTCACACTTGGTACTTCAGACGACTCAGCTGGTCAGAATCTGTGATTTCTGTAGGAATTGGTTGTTATGTCTCTTTACCTGATACAGTGAGTGCTAGTGACTTCACTCTAACCACGTCAATGGTCACCTTTGGCTCTGGAGATATCTCTGGGAGTTCCAAGTGTTTTGTGTTCGATCTGACCGAAGATACGATACTGGAAAATGATGAGGAATTTAATGTGGAAATAACAGGTGCTGGAGGAGCTAGTTTGGGAGCTCAATCAACAGCAGTTGTTACAATTGAAGACAATGATGGTTAGTATGAGTACATGCAGAGATAATATGATCATATACATGCAAATTTTTTTTGCTTTGAAACAACACAATACGGGGAACAACAAGCTTTATAAATTAACCACTTATCACACCAGGAGTAACAAATAACCAGTTAGCTGTGCAACCCCCCTCATGTTACTGTATAACTTGCTCCTTGCAGAGGGATAACATTGATTAAGCTCTGTATAGTAAGAATAATGACATACCTCACTAACAGCAGTACAAAAGAAGACTTATACTCCTTGGGAAAAACTGCACAGTTGCCAGTAGCCTTGCTCATTTCTGTATACTACAGCCATGCACATTTTTGAGACAAAAAGGGATAGCTGCTGTTTCTGCATGCATCAGCTCCTTCTGAACTAACACTGCTGCTACATGTGTGATGCCTGTCTTCTTGGTTTCTTACTGAATGGATAATCACAAACACTATTGCTTGGCATATTGTGGGATCTAGCACAACCATGCTCTTTACATTTTCTGTGTGAATACTCACTTGTTTTTGTATAGTTCACATAGCACAAGTGTTTGTATAATGTTTTTCAACAGCGGGAGAGGTTATGGCAGTTATGGCTGATCTCAGTATTGCTGAAGGGGGTAATGATGATTTCTGCATTAGACTGATTGGCACAACTGGCTCTCCAAATATGCTGGCCAGTGACCTGACAGTTACCTTTTCAATTACCAACGACAATGCAGGTATTGTGCCTGGATACTGTGCTAACCCTGGTAATTAGGTTTACAAGTGGGGAGTATGTGTTAAGTATAACTACTGTTTAGGTATTTGTTAAAACACCTCATTGAGGAATCTGGCTGGAATACAGGCAGAAAGCCCACCAGATCAAGATAATGGGGTGTTTTGAGTAGTTTAGTCCAGGTGTTTTCATAGCATTGTTCATACATCAGCTGTGCTGAACAATGCTATGGTCTGTGGTGAGTGCACTATCAGATACATGGACTGTGGTCCAGATAGTGCACTGTGGCTTGTCTGGTGTAGATCTGTAGCTTGAATAAACACTTCTAAGGATCAAAGGAAACACTTGGAACCAGGCTATAAGTTTTAATGGTTACTTAATGTGAATTAGTACTTGAATACCTTTGGTGTTCAAATGAGTATATATTATATGTCAGTTCTTAAACAGATTCCCCCCATTGCTGTCTGTTTCTGTAATACTGAGCATGTGATGTGGGAGCAATGTTATTTTATCTGTATGCATTTGTTTCAAGTGAGTTGGCTAGGGCCTTCCAATTATTAATCAATTCGGTAATTACAGACTGCTGTGCTTTGTGACAGGTGAAATAATAGATTCACGTGCATCTGAATAATGGGATGTGTAGCAACATCTTTCACAGTGTTGTTTTGTTATCTTTTGTAGCGGCTGCTGACTATACTCTGACGCCAGCAGCTGCAACATCCGTCACAATTTTAGCAGGAGCCATACCCAGTTCAGATTGTGTGACTGTGGATGCAGTTGATGACCTCTTTGTAGAGGGAGCTGAACGCTTTACTTTTACCATTACTTCGGATGATCAAGCTGATGTCACCATTGATGCAACATCATCAACCACTCTAGTGACCATTCCAGCTAATGATGGTACATTGTCTGTTATTTTTGGTCGGACTATAAACGTGGGCTATGGGCTATTTAACGATGATGTCATTAGAAGTGGGAACTAACTTCTGAGTAGCTATATAGCACCTTAGTGTTAAGCTCTTTGTAGAGCAGGCTCAGGAGTTAGCACCTATACTTCTGTGCTTGTGATCTATCACCAACTGGTTCATTCATTGTGAGCCATAGAGAGAGTTGTGTATTTGCTGTTTTCCTCCAATGCAGGTGGAGCTGGAGTGGCCGGGTTTATGTTCTTTGATCCCACTCTAACCGTATCGGAATCGGATACTAGCCCATTAATGCTGTGTGTACAACTGGACCTCACGACAGCAGGTGCCAGTCTCGGATGTGATACAACTATCACTGTCGATATCCTGGATGGAACTAATGCAGGTGAGAGACTTTGGAAAGACTGAGTACCTTATGATAATCACCTCAGTAGACCGTTCTGATTGTTCATTTCCTGTGATTGGCACTTAAATTCTTAAAGATCGTAATACGTGCAGTAGAAATGCAAGCATAAGTTTTTACATGCCAACCAGTTTGGGTCCTTTATGTTTACGTAGATAAATCTGTACATTGGTAGTGTAGCATTCGTGATCTGCCAGGATCTAGTTAGCCAGCGTGCTCGATGTGTTACTCCATAATAAAACACGTGATAGTCAATGACGTTACCATGATTAAATAATGGTTAGTAGCTACTATGGAATCCACGGAGTCTCTAGTCCAGTGATACTATATACCACAGTAGAAATGTTGATTGTCACATTCACTGCCTTTGACTCTGTCTCCTCTCAGATAATGGTGTTGACTTTATGGTCGATGATCCTGCAATGGTCACATTTGACGAGGGAGCAGTCAATGGAGCGACTGAATGCATCAGTATTTCTATTCTTAATGACAATGATTTTGAGAACGACCATTCATTTCAAGCTCAAATTATGGCTGTTTCTCCAGCCGATAAGCCAACAGTTCTCGATAGTACTCTTGCAACTATTCTGATTCAAGATAATGATGGTAAGTGGATTAATTTCTAGATTGGAGTTAATGCATGAACGTTTTAGTTTGGGGAAATTGTATATCTGAAATTGCACTGCAAAATTGTTTATGACACTGCGGAGATCTTGCTCATCTCAAAGATCTCTTATTGACTATCATGCTCAGAGACACTGGATTGCATATTCCCAACAACAATTATTCAGAGACACAGAATGAGGGGAGAAAGGTCGTAGTGATAGGTTCAATGCAGTGTAATGATTGCCTGCAGTAAACTCAGGAATCTTGAGTGAGCAATGTTCGTGGTCAGCAGCCCTCTAATGGTGTGTATGTTGGGTCGGAATGCTCCCACACTGGGCCAGACAACTTTCCAGCGGGTGCTTACAAATGTTCACTACTACATTTAGATTTCTGCTACAGAAATATCTGTGTTGACTCTTCTGTCCCCTGCAGATGCTACTGTGTCACTGAATATGGCCACATACACTGGAACTGAAGGAGACACCACATTTGATGATGTTTGTGCAGTAGCAGTGCTCTCTGGAGCTGGTGGAAGTTTTGAGGCTGAGTTGGTGGTCACACTTGGTACTTCTGACGGCTCAGCAGGTCAGAATCTGTGATTTCTGCAGGAATTGGTTGTTATGTCTCTTTACCTGATACAGAGAGTGCTAGTGACTTCAGTCTAACCACGTCAATGGTCACCTTTGGCTCTGGAGATATCTCTGGGAGTTCCAAGTGTTTTGTGTTCGATCTGACCGAAGATACGATACTGGAAGGTGATGAGGAATTTGATGTGGAAATAACAGGTGCTGGAGGAGCTAGTTTGGGAGCTCAATCAACAGCAGTTGTTACAATTCAAGACAATGATGGTTAGTATGAGTACATGTTAAAGCACAAAGATTCTATGCGGAAAGTTTTTCATAGCCTTTTGTGTCACACTGTTCCATTTTTCTTGCTGTGCATTCATCATGCCAGCCAAAAAAACATTTAGTGTCAAGGTGGAGCGTGTACATGTCTTTCTGTTGCCTTCTACAGCGGGAGAGGTTCAAGTTACAGATACCACTCTCAGTATTGTTGAAGGGAATATGGCTATGTTCTGTGTGGAACTGACTGCTACAGACGGCTCTCCAGATATGCTGGCCAATAGCCTGACAGTTACCTTTTCAACAGTGGAATCTGGCAAAGCTGGTATAATATATAGGATATTTGAGTTTTGATTATTGCACACTAATTACATATTACTGTGCTATAATATACGTACAGTGAGTATGTTTATCCTCCTTGTAGTGGGCGCTGATTATTCCTTGATGCCACTAGCTGCAACAACCATCACATTATCAGCTGGAGTCATACCCACTTCTAATTGTGTGACTGTGTTGGCTACTGACGACGCCATAGTAGAGGCAGATGAAGACTTTACTATCGTGATAACCATGACTGATCTGACAGATGTCACTGTTGGAACAGATGACACAACTACTGTAACCATTCCCTCTAATGATGGTATGGTTAAAAATGCACAGTTTATGGCATCCTAACCTTATAAGATAGGGACATCAAGTGTATATCAGCATATGTTTCTTGTGTGGACACAATAATTGCAGTTTAACTATGTGAAATACGAAATATGTATACAGCTAAGTCTTTTCATATATACACAAGATTTTGTTGGGTGCAAGGGCTTTAGAGGTTGAGTTGAATCTATTGCTATGCTGCCCCTATATGTACTTGTGTTATCGCAAGCTTTTGTTGTTATGTGTTGTAGGTCCGGCTATGGTGCGCTGTTCTCAGGCTACCTTCACTGTGGCTGAAGGGAACTCGATCGATGTTTGTCTTGAGCTGGTACTTCCTCCTACTGCAACTTCTCTGGGATGTGATGTGTCTGCCTCACTAAGCACTAGTGATGGACCACGTGCAGGTCAGTGTACATATCACATGCATGGTAGCTAATGATCACGACTCATGGCCTCTCCCTGCAGTTCTTGGGTCTGATTTTACCGCGCCTTCTGGAACTGCAATGTTTTCTGTTGGTAGCGTGAGTGGAGCGACGGATTGCATTACTGTTACTACGATCGACGATGACGACTATGAGTCAACTCACACGTTCATGACAATAATTCAAACACCAACTGGTCCTGCTATGGCTGATGCTTCACCCTGCAGTGTTGAGATAACTGAAGACGATGGTGTGTTCAGTATATAGTGCATCAGTTGCTTGAATTTTTCTTATCTAAATGTGTCTGACTCCATAATGATAATATGAACAGAGTCCATACTACTTAGTAGGTAGTTTGTTCATAATCTAAGCATTGAATAACTGCAGCATGCATGGACAATAATTTATGGCTATGACGGTAGAACACAGTCACACCTAGTGTATTTGTTATGCCCTATGTTACTGTTGGATCTCTCTCTCCTTCTCTCTCTAGATGCCAGTCCGTCAACGGTTTTAACTTCAAACTCAGTTAATGAGAATACTCCCACCATTGATGTGTGTCTTGACCCTGGTGTCTCAGGAGAAATTGAGCTTATGTTGATAACAACATTGGATGCCAGCGATATGAAAGCTCGTAAGAGTCATTAATTACAAACTTGGAAGCTTATCTTCAGCCTCTTATTGGATAAAAAGACTCATTTTGGGTAGGGGTATAGACCTCACTAGAGCAATCACCCGGGGCTCGGGGTATTAGAACCTGCAGGACAACTTTATTTATACCTAGACACTTTTCATGTGTGGCTAACCTACTAGTTATCTTCCCATCATATTCATGTGTATTTTATTCATGCAGTTGAAGGTGCTGCAGAGGATTTTACAGTGCCAGGTACATTCACTGTGACTTTCCCTGTCTCAACGACTCCGGGCACTAGTTGTGCCACTGTCAACATTGTGAATGACAATTTTTTGGAGGGCGATCATAACTTCGACGTCTTTATCTCTGACCCCGGACCTTCTGCCATGACTGGGACACCTAGTAATACTGAAGTCACTATCAATGACGATGAATGTAAGACTAAAGTGTCTGTTATGCAATTTACTATAACTTGTCATTGTAAGACATGGATATTGTCACCAAGATCGATACAGTGGCCACAGCTCCTGTTGTACATAATTTGCCCATGCAAAGCTGTATTAACATCATAGGTGTACCATACTGGCATACTTCTATTTCTCAGGGTGTTGGTTTGAAGCTGAGTTAAATTGCTTTTTCCTCCAATCTGCAGCTGGAACCCTGGTGTTTGATACAGGGTCTAGCACTGCTACAGTACCTGAGGGGGGACATGGCATCAGTCTGTATTACCATCTCATCTACTGCCACTTCCCTGGGATGTGACCTCACAGTTACTCTTACTACTGCTGACGGCAAGGCTACAAGTAAGTTCTTGTGTTTGTTCTTCAATTGACTGCAAACACCTCACTTCTGGTGTCCTTAGGTGCAGACAATGACTATACAGCTGGACAGTATGAGATATCATTTATGACAGGCGACACTTTTGATCTTATGGGTTGTGTTGATATCCCAACTATTGATGATATGATTCTGGAGGGAGATCATGACTTTATTGTCAGTGTCTATGACATCACACCAGATGGAGCAGTCACTGCCAGTGGAGACTTGACCGTCACAATTACAGATGCTGCTGATGGTTGGTAACTAGCTAGCTAGTAGATTATTAGTTAAAGTGAACAATCATCCAATGCAGGTCAAGCCAGTATCGATTTGCAAGGCGATGACACCTTTTCTGAGGGCGATGGAACCGTTCAATGCTGTTTTGCAATCTCTGGACTGCCATCGGGAGGACTAGGATGTGATATAGTTGTCACGGTTCAGAGTCTTGCTGTTGGTGGTGCAATGGATGCAAGTATGTACTGGACCTTTATTGTAATACTCTGTTTAATTTTTTGTTTCTTTCTCACTGCAGCTGTTGGTAGCGATTATGCATTGCTAATGACGACAGCGACATTTGAGAGTGGTGCGACTCTTAATGGAGATACTCAATGCATTCAAATCGAAATTACGGAGGATGATATCTACGAGGAAGACGAAGTGTTCATTTTCCAAATTAGTTCTGTAATGCCATCGTCTGCTGCTGTGATTGGTTCACCTATGCAAGTCACAAAGACAATCCAGGACAATGGTGGTAAGAATAACCTAGACTTGCTTAGTGGAATATTCTCTAGCAAAAGTTTTGGTACAAACAGCCAGCTGTGGCGTAGCTGGCTGTTTGTATGTTTAAAACCGAAACTAGAGCAACGGGGGAGTCAACGTACTATGTACTCGAGATAGTGATGTCTGTTTCACCTCCCAAACACCTCACTTTACCGCCACCCTCAGCACTGCCCCTATATGTCTCCCCAGATGATTTCTCCATGAGACAGGGACTCTTTACTTCCTAGAAATTGCTTGCTTCTTACTTTCGAATTTGTCTAACACCGCAGTCTCAGGGTGTATCACGTATTTCTGTGAAGCAAACTTAAATGTTGATGGCATGTTCCCATGCTTTTTTGCAGATGCTGAGGTTGAGTTTGTGATGACTGAATATTCAATCAATGAAGAGGCAGGAAGCATTGGTATCTGTGTGAACTCTGGTGTGACTCAAGGATTTGAAACTGATCTGGTCGTTGGTTTCATGGCAACTGACGGCAAAGCTAGTGAGTGATCGTGCAAGTCTACCCTGAGGTTGTTGCTAATTGTTTTATTTACACAGCTGTACTGGATGACACGGAATTTAGCAGTGTTCTCTTTTCGTTGACGTTTCCGGATACTTCGAATGATCAAACACTCTGCGCTCCCATCCCTATCATGAGCGACAAAGAGTTAGAGGGACTCCATGATTTCACTGTGGCCATTATTTCTGCTGGGAGTCCACCACATGCCACGATAAATCCATTATCTAACACCACAACTGTCGTTATTGTCGACGATGAGCGTGAGTTGTTTCTGGGTGTACATAGGCAGCATGAGCCCTCATCAAATCGTTGTGTGTTTGACTATGTGCAGAGGGAGTTGTTAACCTTGAGCCCATCGTTGACGTGACTGAAGGCGGGTCATTTAGCGTGTGTGTCAATTTGATATGTTCTGGGAGCACCCTCGGCTGCCCTCTCACTGTCACCTTGAATGTCATTGACAATGCAAAAACAGGTCAGCTAATGTGTCAATGCCTTTGAGGACTCTATCAGTTTATGAAGTACATTCGTCCCATTAGTTTGAACTAGTTCCAGTTAGTGCCCGTTAATGGCAGCTTGAATTACAATAGTTACCAGTCTGCTCAAAGAACTTACCAAACTTTTCTAGACCTATATATTATATGCACACTAATACTTGAAACCCAAAAAATTTTCACCAATTATAATATAGAAGCAGCACCGTTCCAATTGTCTAAATCAGTGTGTACTCTCCATCTCTCCAGTTGAAGTTGATGACTATGCCGCTGGACCACACACAGTGGTGTTTAGTACACTGGGCGTCCCCCTCCCGACTCAAGGATGCACATCCATTGCCACAGTTGATGATATGAATGTGGAAGGTCCCCATGACTTTACTGTGCAGATTACAGCTGTCAGTCTGCCCAATAGTGTTACAATAGAGTCTCCCTCGCAACAGAATGCTATCATCATTGACAATGATGGTACGTTGGCAGTGCTTGAATACACACATATATACAGTATGTACCCAACAACATTGTGCTGAAGTACAACACTGTGATCTCTCCATTTCTTAAACGCAGAGGTAACTGTTGGATTCTCTCAACCTACCTACACCTTTCCCGGTGGTGCTGGAGCTGTACAGCTCATGCTGGCAGTGTCTGGTCTCTTGGGTGTTCTAGAATGCCCAGTTGATGTGTCAATTGAGTACACCGATGGTCCCAAAGCTAGTAAGTGTATATACTTCTCTGTCTGGTAAATTTTTCATTGTTGATGGCAATCAATTACAGTTGTTGGTATGGACTACCAGCCAGGACAAATGACCTTTACTCTCTCTACTTCAACCGCCAACGGAGACATAATTTCAGTGCCACTGGACATTCTGAGTGACACTGCTGTGGAAGGAGATCACACTTTCTCTGTGGAGGTGGTGGACAGTGATCTGGTGATGCCAGGACAAGCTGCCACAATTGAAATCACTGACAATGACTGTGAGTTTTTTAGCATTTGTGTGGGGCAGATAATCCATGCAATTACGCAGCTAGACATGTACATGCTCATTGCTTATCGTACCAAGCAACTCAATTCCTGTGTCTTTAGTTGCTGGAGTTCAGATGGAGTATTTAGTGTACACTGGCAGTGAGGGCAGCTCAGTGGAGGTGTGTGTTTTGCTCAGCAGTCTCCCTGCTGATGGGCTCCAGTGGGAGATTGTGGTTACCCTGGATGTTATCGATGGACTAAAAGCAGGTATATGATTTATCTTTGGCACTTTAATGACACACTGTTACTGTGGTACCGTAGCTTTTGTAATGTTACAGACCTCAAATATTGTGTGATCTCATATGAAGATACCCCAGCTCTGTTCAATCTCTTTGTAAACTCTAGTTGCCGGGCAAGACTTCTCGCCAGCCATGCTAACGGTGACATTCCCAGTCTCATCAACAATGGGGGACACTGCCTGTGCAGACATTACCATTACTGATGATGATGCACTTGAGTGCAGTCACGACTTCACTGTGGCCATAGCCAGTGCCACTCTTGGAACCATGTTCTCTCCTCCCCTGTCACAAGCAACCGTAACTATCCTGGACAATGACAGTAAGTGATGCTGCATCATTACTTTATTGACCGTTGCTAGGTGGTTGCTATGTTTATTGTGCTACTATAAATCAGCTAATGCACCAACGAGGTGTTAAGGTGACAATATGCACCGTAGTTAGTGCTTATATCTGATATAAGCACTGCGCTTAAAGTGCATCATAGCAACTTTCCGTGTTCTTGGGAACGAACTTCTTTTCCAGCGTCTTAACTTTAGCACCGCTAAAAAATTCAAATCACTCACTGTACTCTTGACTCATGGGCTCTACTTACTTCCCTAACGCCAGACTCAACCTCAGCTTCTTGCCCGTGCGGGATTGATCATCGTCCTCAGCCTCGCTTTCTGAAGTTCACCCTTCGACACTTACGCGAAGAGGGCTTCGAGACCTCTTTGCCATGACTTGCAACAGAGCGCAAAGCAAGGAGAAACGCCAGTGGGAGCTCCGCACACGAGAAAGCGCGGCAGAAGACGCGAAACCACAAAAATGGCAATTGACGTCATAGCACCTAGCAACTATCAATAAACTAATTATCACACCTTTTGTCGTGCAGTTGCTGTTTACAAGGCCTCGCCCTCGGACGCTTACGCGCCCTCGGGACGTCGGCCTTGTAAACCAGCAACTGCACTCCAAAAGGTGTAATAACTACTACAAAATGTATGCAATGCATTTTTGGTGAGCCAATGGCAATAGTTCATTTTTTGCAAGCATATTTTAAAGTAGAACGGTATGTGCAGTGCCCAAAAAACTGATTCAGATGACTAGCTAGGTCTGCTGCACTCGCCATCATTGGTGTTTCTGCGAAAGGCCCATACTCCACCCCACCTATCCATTTTTCTCATCTCCAGATGCTGGGTTGACTTTCACTCAGCAAGATTTTGTAGTCAACGAAGGGGACGGCACAGTAGATGTGTGTATGGAGCTCACTCCTCCACCTGGTGGGATGGAATGTGAAGTAATTGCAACTTTGAGTGCAGCTGGAGACAAAGCTGGTAATTGATTTGGAAAATGGTTCCGACTGAATTTATTATTAACTCTTTTCTCTGTAGTTATTGATGAAGACTGGTCAATCAATGATCTTCAAATAACATTCACCCCTAGTGCCAGTCCTGTAACGGCCTGTTCGACATTCAATATCATCGAGGACGACATGGTGGAGTGTAACCACACTTTCACAGTGTCGTTTGAATCGATAGCCAACTGTGTCACTGATCCTCCAATTGTGTCTAGTTCACCATCTGCTACTGTGATCATCGAGGACAATGAGGGTATGAAAGTCCACAATGCGATTTTTAAGTAATGGTGTTTGTTAGGAAACTGATAATGAGAGGCGTACTAAGTATAGACATTACACGCACTTGTGACACGGAATGATCTGAGGTCTATGCCACCACTCATGCGGTTATAACACACTTGGGGCACTTGACTTTTACAATACATGACTATATTATGTGTAACTACCAGTTGTGCGAGTGTACGCTGGTCAAATGAATACATTTTGCCACCAAATACTTAGTTTTCACTGTGGACATGAGGGATGGGACTCTGACTGTGGATGAAGGTGTTGAAGACGGTACACAGCAGATCTGTCTGACACTGGATATAACTGGAGGAGGCAGCGTCCAATGTCCACTCACAGTGACACTTGGCACAACTGCAGGGACTGCGAGTATGTTCCAGTCAAATTTACCATACCTTAAGGGAATGTGGCAGTTTAGGTTGAAATATTTTACTAACAATGGAAACCTAATTGAATTCTTACACTGATCAGCCTTTTTGTTTTGTTCCATGTTTAGTAATTTAGCCATTATGTTCTGCCACATTTGAGTGTTGATTCCTCGCCTAGAAAGTCTTTGAACGAAAACTCTGTCTTGGTGCAGATTTGTTGCCTGACAAAGAGGACTATGTGCCTGGACCACACACCGTCATCATCCCACTAGGGACCCTCTCGGGAGATTCTGTTTGCACTGATATTGAGGATTTCATAGTCGATGATGCCATTCTCGAGTCGACAGAGGATTTCACTGTCGAAGTTGTGAGTGTGAGTCCTTGTGGAGATGTTGGAACTGCCCCAACCACAGTTGTTAGCATCACTGACAATGATGGTAAAGTTGTCCATAATTTATTTTGCTAAAGGCTTTTTTACCAAGAGTTATGTTTGTTATCCAACAGAGCTAAAGGCTGGCTTCACTAACGATGTAAACGTCATGCTGGAAGAAGGCAACGTTGAGACTATTTGTGTGACAGTGGAAGGCCTAACTGAAAGACCTATAGATGATATTGTTGTTAATGGTGAGTCATTTGTGTGAGACACTGAGTGTGACTAGGGTCTATCTCTGTTTTCCTATACCTTCTGATACAGTGAAGGAAATCATTGGTGATGGTGCTGATTATAGTGTCAGTGGGTCCCCCCTGATGTTTGGAGCTTCAGCTAGTTCAACAAATTGTGTCGAAGATGAAGAGCTGTGTTTCAGTTTCACAGCAGTGCAGGACTCTATCAAGGAAGAGGAAGAGAAGTTTAAGCTCTATCTGTCCACCAGTGACTCTGGGATTAGGTTGTGTGGAGACCAGGGGCACATCTCCATCCCAGAAGATCCCGCTGATGGTATGACGTAATGATATAGAATAACACTACTTGCACAAAATATGTAGACTTTTGAATCAATTCAGTGTATGAACTGTTGTTGATGTAATGTCCATTTTCAGTTGTGATGGTGAGTCTGTCAGTCATGAACGATGGGATAGTGAGCGAGGCCAACGGGGCAATGCAAGTGGCAGTTACTAAGTCTGGAGATCTACAGACTACAATCACAGTCAGTATTGAGACTGTGGAAGGAACAGGTGTGTTGTGAACAGAAGATAAGTTGTAGCAGTTGATGTACTGTGCTGTCTGTTTTGCTGCAGCTGAAATGGGCAGTGACTATGTGCCGATAACACGTGACATCATATTCAATGAAGAAACAGATTACACACAGATAGTATACGTCCCCATTAAAAATGATGAGTGTCTGGAGTACAATGAGACCTTCAGTGTTAGAGTCTCTTCCGACATGAGCTGTGTCATTATAGTGACTGGTGAAGTTAGCATCACCATTGATGATGATGACAGTGAGTTTTGTTTGATGATTGCTGCATTGCGATACACCTTACAAAGGGGCATGTATAGTATTACATAAACAAAACTAATACATATAGCTGCATGTCCACAACAGAAAACCTGAGTGCACAAGAAAGAATCTAAAACATGCACGCACAAAGATATCAGCAGTGAACTTTTGCATGCCAAGGAAACCATGCTGTATCGTAGTTGCTAGCACGATATTTTGCAGAAGGGAGAGTAACAACTCGTGACATGGCACATTACTGTACAGCCCACTTGAATCGTGTGTGTAGAGATCCTCTCTGAAATAAGTGCATTATAGTTACTCCCAACTCAATAAACACTATACGAAACAGTGTAGCTACTAACTGTTTCAATCCCCCAGGTGCTAAGATCACACTGGATGATTCATTCTATAAGAGAAGTGAGGGTGATGGATCTGTGGACGTTTGTGTACATCTAAAAACCGAGATAAAGCGTGACATAGATTTTGAGCTCGACGCCAATGGACTAACTGCCCAGGGTAAGATACAAACTGAAGCAGCTTGTGAGCTGTAATGTAATCCTTTCATATCACTAAGTGCGGTAGTACTTGGTATATTATAATGATGACACAAGTTATCCAACATTATGTCCATACATTTGTCCCTTCAGAGGGCAGTGACTTTAACTCACCAGCAGTGCTCACTGGTACATTCGTTGTGGGGGGTGGCCCTTACGTTTGCTTCACATTTAACATCACTGATGATAACTGTGTGGAGGACAAGGAGTTATTTGGAGTGTCTCTTTCATCTTCTGACTCTTACGTTGATGTCCACATCTCTTCAGCCATCATCACAATCTGGGACAACGATTGTTAGTGCTCTAAAGCCGTTTTCACTTGTAACTTACTAACTGATGTTTCAGATGCACTGTTCAATGTTGAGTCTGACACCTACTTTGTTGATGAAGATGGTGGACCTGCCACACTCTGTGTTGTACTAGCTGACGGTTGTCTTGAGCGAGACGTGGTGATTGAGTTTGCCACATTCGAAGCTACAGCAGAGGGTATGAGATACGTGACCTTGTTATGAGCCCTGCATATTAACCAGCTGTTTATTTCCGAATAGTACACATTGGTGGGTGCCTCGAAAGTTTGTCAGTCGTGTTAACTAAGCCACAAATATACCAAAGGGTCATAAAAATAGCTTAACTAACCCAAAACAGCAAGCAGTGCCACGTGTCATGTATACAAGCGAACTGTGATAATTGTTAGTTTTTCCCCCTTTATGAGACTCATTATGACCACTGTATGGTAAATGGTTGTACTAATCCTAGATCCTGACGACTATCAAGGCAGTGCTTCTTTTATAACGTTCGTCAGTGGTTCAACGACTGGAGAAAGGGAATATGTCAATATCGTGATAGTTGATGACGATTTTAAAGAGGAAAACGAGTCGTTTGTGTTTGCAATCTGCGCCGGAGGAGATGCATCTGCACACATCGACGATTTCTCAGCCAATGTATACATTGTCGATGAAGAGAGTAAGATCTTTGCCTGCATTCCCTTAGTTGTTGTTTTATGTGCTCCCATCTATCACAGTCGTACAGTTCTCCCTGTCAGTTGGAAATGCTGGTGTAGTTGATGAGGATAATGGAGTAAAGGTGGTGACAGTGAGTCTAACTGGAGATCTGAAGAGAGATGTTGCAGTCAAAATCGCCACCATGGCTGGGACAGGTTTGCTGTGCACTTTGAAAATACCTGGTATTCAACTTATATCTCTTTGTACATAGCTCAAGGATTTCTGGACTTTATACCAGTGTATACATACCTGATCTTCAATGAGGATACTCCAAATTCACAGCCAGTACCCGTTACAATTCTGAACGACGTCTGTCTTGAAGAAGACATTGAGTACTTCTCTGTCGTGCTATCTAGTGATATGGATTGTGTTGAGATAGTTAACGAAAGTGTCACAATCAGAATTGATGATGATGACAGTGAGTTTATCCACTAACATAATCTGCTGTGTTATTACCCGAGTTGTCTGTATATTATCCAGGAGCAAAGATCACACTGGACGACTCATTCTATAAGATTAGTGAGGATGGGGGATACGTGCACGTCTGTGTAGAACTAAAGAGTGACATTAAGCGGGATGTTGGCTTTGAACTCAGTGTCACTGACATTACAGCACAAGGTGAGAAATACTGTGCTATGAAATTGCTCAAGAAAAGTCTGATTTGGTCTCTCAGGTGGCAGTGACTTTATCTCGCCAGCAGTACTCAGTGGGACATTCACCGTGGGAGGCGACACTGAGATGTGCTTCACATTTAACATCACTGATGATAACTGTGTGGAGTACAAGGAGTCATTTGAAGTATATCTTTCGTCTTCTGACTCTTACGTTGATGTCCACATCTCTCCAGCCAACATCACAATCTGGGACAATGACTGTCAGTTCATACACTCTCTGAACGTTTCCCTGCTTTGACCAGTGGTATTCCCTTTTAGATGCACTGTTTGGCATTGAGTATGACACTTACTTTGTTGCCGAGAATGACGGACCAGTCACACTCTGTGCTGAACTGCTGGAGGGTTGTCTGGAGCGAGAAGTCATAGTTGAATATGCAACCTTTGATGGAACTGCTCAAAGTAGGCTCTGCAATTAGTTACCATTTGTAGCATTTTTTTAAATACGAACCATCTCTATTCCTTAGATTCCTCTGACTATGAAGGTCACACGGGCCTTTTGTCATTTGAGAGTGGCTCAACGGCAGGGAATGTAGACTGTGTTGACATTGGAATCATTGATGATGACTGCAAAGAAAGGAACGAGTCGTTTGTTTTTGCACTGTGTGCTGGAGGAGATCCGTCTGTGCACATTGATGACTTTTACTCTGATGTATATATCATAGACAACGATGGTAAGTTATCCAAAAGCACGTACATAATAATACAGCATCATTCAGTCAAGAGACGACTGTTGCTAATGATACGTATGTTTGTTACCGTATCTCTTTTCAAATCCAGTTGTACAGGTTTCTCTGTCAGTTGGGAATGGTGGTGTAGTTGATGAGGGTAATGGAGTCATGCTGGTAACTGTCACTCTGACTGGAGACCTTAAGACCGATGTCACTGTAAAAATTGCCACTGGGGCTGCTGGGACAGGTGTGTATGTTGTGTGACTAGATGAATGTAGTTAAAAATTTCATACATTTACTCTCACATTCAGCTGTAGCCTACGAGGACTTTAGACCGGTGTATCAGGAGCTCATCTTTAACGAGGAGACTTCCAATACACAGACAGTGTTTGTTACAATTCTGAACGACGTTTGTCTTGAAGAAGACACGCGAGTACTTCTCTGTTGTGGCAACTAGTGACATGGACTGTGTTGAGATAGTTAATGGAGAAGTTACCATTATCATTGATGATGATGACAGTGAGTTTTCATGATATTAATTGATGATTTATAGTTAAAGGTCTTCTATTTTTATGCAGAGGCCAAGATTACTCTGTACGAATCTTTCTACAAGATAAGTGAAGGTGTCGGATCGGTGGACATCTGTGTTCAGCTGAAGACAGACATAAAGCGCGATGTTGAATTCCAACTAAGTGTTATTGATGCAACAGCACGAGGTGAGATAGATTAAAAAGAACTGTATATAGAGCAAAAATAGAGATCTTTTTCACAGAGCCCTACTTTTAGTTCCATCTTTTGAAATATTTTTTTCTCATATGTTAGATGGAAGCGATTTTGACTCACCAGCAGATCTCACTGGAACATTCACTGTCGGAGGAGACGATTACATTTGCTTCACATTCAACATCAGTGACGATGACTGTGTGGAAGAAAAGGAATATTTCCTAGTCGAGCTCTCGTCTTCTGATGGATACGTTGATGTACACACCTCTATAGCCACAGTACATATCAAGGATAATGACTGTAAGTGCCTGTGTTTGGTGTGATACGTAGTCGTAATTTTTAATACTCTGTTCTTTCAGACGCACTGTTTGGCATACAACAAGAAGTGTATTATGTGGAGGAGAATGCTGGATTTGTTAGAGTTTGTGTTGAACTATTTGATGGTTGTCTTCAGAGAGATGTTTATATTGAGATCAAGAAGCTTGATGCCACAGCCATGAGTGAGTATACACATTGCAAGCAGATACGGTCATGTTTTTGTGTAATTATGCATGAATTGTGTTTCCTCTAGATGAAGCGGATTTCGTGGGGGGCAAATATCAATTACACTTTGAGAATGGCTCAGTGTCTGGGGCAATAGACTGTATCGACATTGAGATCATAGATGACTACATCAAGGAGGGGAATGAGTCATTTCTGGTTGTTTTATCTCCCGGAGGAGATGAGGCTGTTCACCTAGTCAACCACTATGCTGATGTATACATCATTGACGATGACTGTATGTTGTTCCTCTCTGGTTTCTCTCAACATTCAATGAGTGATCTCTTAAAATCCTGCAGGGGTGAATGTGACTCTGTCACTGGGGAACCCAGCTGGTACAGTAATAGAGAGTAATGGAGCTATGCTTGTTCTGGTTGAATTGGAGGGAGTGATAAAGACAGATGTGAAAGTTACAGTCGAGACTTTTGATGGATCTGGTTAGTACAAAGGTCTACCCTCTAGGGTGGTAACCTCTCCATGTCGCCATTTATGTTTCTACAGCTCTGGAAGGTCTCGACTATGTGTCAGTGACAAAAGAAATTGTATTTACCAACTACTCAGAGAATCCACACCGTCTCTACATACCCATTATCAATGACTGTGACTGTGTTGAGGAGTATGAGTACTTCTTAGTGAACATAACCACTTACATGGATTGTGTCCATCTACCAGTTGAATATGTCCACATCACAATAATAGATGATGACAGTGAGTAACAACATTGCTGTACACAAGCTGGACAAATTTGCATAGTCACTCTTATCTGGCAGAATTGACAAAATGTGTAATATGCTGTGTCATCACCTTCCTTTAGTGCCTAAAGTGACCCTCGAAAGAATGATCTATGAAGTATATGAGGATAACACAACTGTGTCTTTGTGTGTTGAGCTTAAATCCAACCTAAAGCGTGATCTTGAGGTTCATCTCTATTTGTCGGGAGACACTGCCACTGGTAAAAGAGTATTTTGTTGTGATGCCTCAGTACGAATGATTGTTGCTTGCCAAACAGCTGGTACAGACTTTGATGGAACATCTCCGCTGACGCAAACCTTTGTCAGTGGATCAACTGCTGGAGACAGAGTCTACTTTAGCATTCCAATATTTGATGATGATATTGTGGAAAATGAAGAGTTATTTTCGGCTTTGCTTATTGCTGATGCGAAAATACACATAGATACTGCATATGTGCAAATAACAGACAATGACAGTAAGCAAGAATAACTATCACGATCTTGTATTCTGTGTTAACCTCTAATTCTTTTCAGCTGCCTGTGTCAACTTCTCACAGTCAGTGTATGAAGTACAGGAGAGCAGTGGGTCTGTAGAAATTTGTGTGGATGTTGATGGTATTCTTGAAGACTACCTGACAGTCTATCTCTTTACCATTCCCGGTACTGCCACTGGTAAGCCTATACAATTCTTGATTGCGTATTCTTTCAGTCTTCTTATTCCTCTCCTGTAGCTGCTGACTTTTATCCACTGAGTGAGAGCCTCACATTCCATGATGGAGGGCGACAGTGTGTGAACATCACCATTGTGACTAGAGATGCTCTGGAGAATGTCGAGAAGTTCTCAGTCGTCTTATCTACTCGGGATGAGCGCCTTGAAATAAAGCGCTACTACGCAACAGTTTATATTGTTGAGGATGGCGGTTAGTCTATCTATGCAGCATTCGCTCTCTTTCTCATATTGGGCCAAGATTTAGCTAGCCATTTTCCTATACTATAGGAGCTCTAAATGCATGTCTTCCTGTATATGAAACGTTGTTATTCCTTTCCTTACAGCTGTCACAATTGGCTTCAGTCAGAGTGTATATCAAGTGGAGGAAGAGGATGAAAATGGAGAAGGAAGCATCCTTGAAATCTGTGTGGAGGCTGGAGAGCTTGACAGAGATGTGGATGTCTATGTGACCACAAGTAGCCAGACTGCTATAGGTGAGACAGACTCACACAGGGTTGAGATTTTTCACTCTTCTTTGTCACCTCTGCAGCTGGTGAAGACTATTCTGATGTCCTTGCTGAGCTTAGAGTGCTGAAGTTTAAGTTTCAGCGAAGAAGGAGATTTATTGGTAGCATCACTGAGGAGCAGTGTTTCAATGTCACAATTCTGAGCGATCCTTTCGTGGAAGAAGACGAAGTGTTTTTGGTTCAACTGTCCACTGATGACTCTGGAGTTGTACTTAGTCCGGAAGAGGCGGAAGTTGTGATTGTCAATAATGACTGTGAGTTTTTCTATCACAATAGCATCTAATACGAGGTCCTACCTACTCTACCCCAATCTCTTTACCTTTTATGTGGCTGCTACTCGTCTTACTTTCGTAATATGAACCTGACACGAAGCTTGTTGTGTCATTCATATTGGGTGGGTTGCCCTAACGATACTGCTTCTTTCAGATATTGATGTGAACTTGGTGGCAGCTGATATTGACGTGCTGGAAAGTGATGTGGCGGCACAAGTTTGTATCTTTATAACAGATGGAATTTTAGCCATTGATGTTGAAGTTCTTCTTACCACTGATGATGATTCTGCAACAGGTAAAAACTGTAGCAAGGTTTGAAATGTGAAGTCTATGGTGTTACTAATTTCGCTTGGACAAAAATAGTAGCCAAATAACTAGACAAACACTGCTTTACCATTTTAGAACTTCCATTTTCAACAGCTGGAGAGGACTATGTGGGCCATGTAAACACACCATTGGTGTTCACTTCTGGATCCACTGTTGGAGCACAAGTCTGTGAAGACATTCTCATTGATGAAGACAACAAGCTGGAGGATGATGAAGAGTTCACATACTCACTGACCTCCAATGATCCTGTCATGTTTCTTGCCAGCGGTGGCACTGTAACCATCGAGGATAATGACAGTAAGCAAAACCTTGTGCTTTAGAGTAGTGTAAGTGGATGGATTGCCGAGCAATACTCCCTGAATTGTTCATGATCTCAAGTCTTGCATGTATGTTGCTAGAAAAAATTGTTTCAAAACGCAATAGCATGTTTGAGCACAATACTATGGTCATCTCTCAAAGCAAAATAATATGTGCACTCCTGCAAAAAAATAACTCACGAATTAGCACGGGTCACAAACCTACTGGTGCGGTTTGCTAATTCAGATAGATAATATAGCCAGCATTAAATTTTCACTGATAGACAAGCTACCACCACAATACCCATCAATGCTGTTTTTAGAACATTTTAGAAGATGCCTATGTGCATTTAATAGAGGCCACTTAATTAACGATACTGAGGTCAATATGTATGTATGTGTTATGGAGTTTCAAACTTCTTTTTTTTAACCAAAGGTGTGGATGTTGCCTGGGCGGAGAGTGTTTTCACAGTGCGAGAGGATGAACTAACACTCATGGCCTGTGTCGAGGTCCCTAGTGACATTCTGTGTCGGGACATCGAACTCTTTGTGTCCACCGCAGACTCCACAATGTCGCCACAAGCTACTAGTGAGACCTGAAATCATGGGAATCTCAATGCTCCATCTTTATAATGTATTGTATCTGTCTGCAGGTGATGTAGATTATCAGTCTCTGAGTATGCAAAGTCTGACTGTGCCTGCCGGCTCCAGTTCAGCGTGTGTATCTGTTACACTGATTGATGACAACGAGGCAGAGTCTGCCGCAGAGTTCTTTGATCTGGTCCTCAGTTCCTCTGACTCAGACGTTTCTATCTCCTCTCCTCTGGCCGTAGTTGAACTTCAGAATGAGGATCGTGAGTATATATACTTCAACCCCTAGCTTTATGACTAATTACCAAAAACTTAAACAGTTTTCTACAAAGGATTACAACAGTAGGAACTCCCTTAAATGCTGTCTTAAAACACTCTTAACCCACTTTTACACCTACTGTTGATAGCCTTTTGTTACTGCTTACTGTTCTTAATATCTCACTTGCAGTTCAGATTGGGCTGATGCCATTTACAGTCTGCGAGAACTCTCCAATTCTCACGGCTTGTGTTACTGTCACTGGTGAAAGTGTGGATGTGGCTTCTTTCGATTTCTTCACTTCCCCCACTGGAACTGCAACTGGTATATATAATGATTATGACTCGGTCTAATAATGGATAGTTAACCCTCGGCCGCATAAGGTCTGTGTGTCTGTTTGTCTACAGATCTTCTTGCACTACAGGCTACATGGTGGCCTATAAGCGATACCAACGGCTTAAGAGCTACCATGCAATTTTCCTGTAACGACTGCGTTCAAGAGATATGCCGTGAAAACAAAGCGAAAAATATGGCCTGATCAGCTAACTATACCTTGGAAGCACAAGAAGTCGCAACGGAGGACATGTTCGAGCCTGAATGCTATCTCCAAGTTTAATTAACCAATCAGTGTCAGACTCTCTGCAACTACTAGCAGGAGACCACATCACGAGCAAACGCATAGCCCAGCCTATCAATAAGTGGTAACGCTCATAACTTCGATGTTTTCACTGCGCCGAGGGTTTGCACTTTACTGCTTGTCGTTATTAATTATGCTTGTATATACCTGCAGTGGGAGACGACTACCAGGCTGCTAGTTCCAGTTTCAACTTTGTCACTGGAGACAACCCTCCCTGTCTAAATATTCCGATAGACGATGATTCAGATAGGGAGAGCTGTGAGACATTCATGCTACAGTTGTCCACATCTGACCCCAACATCATTCTCTCACCGGGGGCTGCAACCGCCACCATCTATGACGACGAGGGTTAGGGTCTATTCCTTCGTGTATTTATCATACGTGTTCACAATAGTGATGATTTCGTTGTGCTGCTTGGTTTGCCTTTACCTTTAGACCATGTTGTTCACAAACACTCCCCATTCTCTGTAGATCCAAGTATTGAGTTCATCAATAACACACCAGACATCACTGGCCAGATTCTAACATCGGAGCTATTGGAAGAAGGCTGTATCGCCGGACTTGTATGTCAAGTAGAAGATGGAGTCCCATTCAGCTGTGAGTTAGCTACCTCTATAAACCTCACTTGCACCCACACTGCAACACACACACATAGTGCCTGTGTGCTGCAACAATATATCAAATGTATTACTCTAACTTCATTTTCTTGGAACCTCCGGCAGACTGAGTTAGAGTTTACTAATGTGAAACCTTTCTATTGGCAGGTACTAATCCGTCCGTCATTGAGCTCGACAATACTCGTGTTAATACACTGTCCATCACTGCAAATGGATTCTGTCAAAATAGCGATTCTCTCTCTCGTGACGTTCGATCTGGTGAGCTGATGACAGTTCTTAGGTGATCATAGTTTAACTAATTGTTGCGGTTTCTCTCACAACAGACAACGTAAGGTGCCACGTACATCAAATCAATGGAGGAGATGAGCAGGCAACTGTGGTTGGGAATAGTGCAACTGTCATGTTTGAAGGAACCGGTCCATCTGCTGGCAATGTTGTCACTGATTTCAGAATTTTGGTGGATCTGTTGAACCCCAACACAGGAGAGTTTATTACCCAGCATGAATTCCCATGCTCTGACACCGCAGCTGCACCTCCTTTTACTGCAACGTGTGTTGTGGATGCCGGTAAGGCAATAGATCACTGGCTATGTGTTGTGAGGTTTCCAAATTAACTTACAGTGAAAAGATTTGTAAGACTGTACATAATAGGATGCTACCCCAGCAAATCAGTACTTCTCAGCTGCTTTTGATACTATCTCTGTTATGTTACGTGGTATTTATACCCCAAACTTCGGCGTATTTACAGAGCTTGAGTTGATGAATCAGACAGTTTTTTGTTCAGCCGTGTCCCACGTGCATGCATGAAACATAAGTTTGAGAGCACAATTCGAGAATACCTAGGTGACACTTTTCCGTTGCGGCACTTGAACCCATGACACTCTGCAGTCCAATAGCCATTATGTAGGGTTCGTTATAGGACACAGACACAGGGCTTCCCCCCTCTTTCTCATAAACACCCAAGACGGAAGTTGACATTCCTAAGCATGACTAATTGACATCCCCTAGTGTGACTAATTGACATTCTTAAGCGTGACCGACACGTACGTACGTACACATATCGCGAGAATACAACCCGGAGTAGTTGCCTCACGCTAACGCGCTCGGCAACAAAATGCAATGTGAAGTCAAACCCCAAATTGACTCTGCATCTGATCAGTTAACTCTTGGTAGCTATTAGCTAGTATTCATGTGAGCTGCTGTTGTTTCATGGGTACAATTTTAAGATTTTTATTATCACTTTTTTTCTTTTGATGTGTAGCTACTGCCCACGGAACCCTAACAGTGTCTGGATTCTCCAGCGTTGGCAGATGGGGCCTACGTATTCAGCCACTCCAGCCTCCCAGTGGTCTGCAGTGTATACGACGTGCCCCACGAAGATTTGAATTTGACATAACTAGTGTATGAGTTGCCATTTTGGTAGCTGTACAAACAAGACTGCATTCATAGTTACCTTCTATTCTATAGCAGTTTATGGGTATGATGTATTTATCTCGCTGTTTTGTGACCTCAAATGTCTCTGTCAGATAATTTGCCAGCTAGGAACGCAGTCAACACACAAACTAATAACCCACTTCTAATTCAAACAAGCATGACACTTACTAAAGTTTGAGTCTGCAGGCTCTTTTATAAGGGAAAGCTGAGCCCCACCTGGTGGGGAACGGGAGCATGTTTTGTTACCAAAAGTGGACCTATGCTTCAACCCGTTCCGATTTTGGCAGACCAAAAGTTGACCCTGATCTAGTTTTTGCCAATCAAGTGGACCTAGGTCATGCTCAACTATTCGCTAGCAAAATAAGCCTACTTGTTGTCTGAATGATCCTGCTGGCGTCTGCTCTCACACATACAGTTATAGCTAAGCCCCACACCTGAGCCCTCTGTCCGCGAGGGTGACATACATACACTTGCAAACTAGTGCGAAGCTTCCACGACAGCATTTTGCCTGACACTCTAAATTGAAAGTACAAAAACTGCCGCATACGATCAACTCCCACTAATAATTATTGACAGTCACAGTGTTAACTTTGAAGTTAAACTAATTAAATTTTGTGTGCGTCGATCAACCCCAATCATTATTGGAGAGTGACTACAATCATCAAAGAGGGAGACATCATCTGTGACAGCCCCAACTTAATCAGCTGAAAAATCCTGTTGCATAGCCAGTACCTCAACAAAGAAT